GGGTGAAGGGGAGGGAGAGGGAACTGGGATTGACTTATAAAACAAGCTTTTTTCTAATTTAAATAAAAAATCAGAACAAAAAAAGTAACAGGAAATATGCTTTTCCCCCCTATTCCCTGCTTAAGATTATGATTGGCCATTGGTATTGTTTGTCTTGTCGGGGAATGTCAGATGTTGTGAGTTATCAGCAGTGATCACTCAGGGCATAGATAAGACTCCATAAGTAGTCTGACATCAGGCTCCTAATGAAACTGTAATACAGGTGATTTCCTGTCACATTGCAGCTGTGTAGCTTCCCGTTTCACTCCCTAATTCTGCTCCCAAGCAAATCAGAGATCAATGGTTTCAGGAGACTGAGTTGTTAGCCGTGAGTTTTCATCTATCGCCCAGGCTGTCCCACTTCTGCAGCTCTTCCCACTGCACTTGAACACTTCCCTAATTCTTAACTTTGGATTTGGCCATGGGACTGCCTGCACTGATCGGATGCAGGCAAAGGTGAGAGTCTTGGCTGTTTCTGCACATGAACTTTAAGGTGGTCCATGTGTTTCCCTTTTCCATTTGGGTTCCTGACAGTTGGGAGTAGAACACGACTCAGGTGGCCTGCTAGTGCACGGGAGACTAAAGGCTCACAGAGAACCAATGGACTGAGTGCCTCCAGCTCCCAGCCAAGCAGTGCTGAGCTGAGATCCGTCCCTTCTGAGCTAACCAGCTCCCAAGCAAGTCAGTTGTTTTAAGCTGTTTGTTAAGGAGAGAAACAAAGTCAATCAATTACGGAACCTCTGTGATATTCCAGACGTGGGTAAGTAGCAGGGCCTACCCAGCTGTGCAAAGTGGAGTCTTATCTCCAGATGGTCTCATCTCATCCAAATGGATGTTCTGTCTCCTCACAAGGAAAACAGTCAAGATTTTCTCAGGGTCCTCAAAACATTTTGTTATATATTTCCATGAATCTCATCCATGGATTCTTCGGGAAAAGCTGTTTAACTAGCTCTTAAATTCTACAGGCCACGTTGCTCCATTTCACAACCTCTGGTCCTGACCATGGTGAATATCTGGATATTTTTCCACACTTCATAGGTGATAAGTGAGAGGATTTTGAAGTACCTGATCAGCTTGTGACTGCCTAGATTCAGAACTACCTTCTCCTCTGGTCCACTGACTATTTTGACCCCCAGAGTTCTCAGTATTATGCAAGTCATCTGCCTTTGAATTCTCCTCCACACATAGCAACCTTCACTTGTGTTTCTGTTCCACTAACACTCTAGGCTTTCTATTCATTGAGATATATAGCCAATAGTTTCTTTGTTATCATTTTAATGGAGTAAACCTTCACCGCCTCAGCCCATCTTAAGGAGGAAGGGAGGAGGAAGTGAGACCCGGCTTCCATCTGTCAGTAATGAATGACTAGCTGCCTGTGAACAGACCTGGCTAAAGCAGAATCAAATGCCATTCCAGTCATGGGGCAACAAGCAGGTTCACAATGCACATAAAAACCAATTAGAATTATTGGAGTGCATTCTCAGAACACAGAGTTCCTGGTTGGTGTGGAGATCGATAAATAATTCTGGCACATGGTGGATTTAAACTGCACCACCACTTGAAACCTGGTGTTCACATGCTGATCGGAAGCCAGCTACCTAATATAATTATAGTCTGTTTTTGTTTTTGCCTGTCTTAAAAGGATTCCATAGTATCTCAGGAGCACCAAAGAATATTTTTAAAAGACTCAAGAGAGAATGGGGTTCAAGTCTGACCTGCATGCTTAGAAACTGTTTCCAGGTGTGGAACAGGACTTGGCCTTCCTTTGCTTTGTAAATTGAATTCTCTATTTTGTCATTGCCACCTCTGGGATTTTGCCTTTTCTAGAGGATACTTAACACTATCTCTTAAACACAGTGCAATTAGAGAACAAATAAACGAGGGTTATAAAGTGACACCCTTCTAAGTAAACACAAGCCCGAAGAATAAGCCTACAGTTTGGATTTTGAATTTTCCCAATGACTCTTGTATTAAAGATTGGTCCCTGGCATGACAGTGTGGGAAGATTGTGGCATGGCCTAGTGAGAGGTCATTTGATTCCTGAGAATGTGCCCTCAATGCTGTGGGACTCATCTTTTTTGCTTTCTGGACATGAAATAACTGGTACTACTCTACCTCATCTTTTTGTTCTGGTTTGTGACCAACCTACCACAAGAGCAAAAGCAACAGGATCAACCAGACCTGGGTCAGGATCTCAAAGCTATGTGCCGGATACACCTTTCTTCTTTTAAAATATATTATCTTGGGTACTTATTTCTTCTAGTGACAGAACAAGTTTTATAAAAAGTCAATTATGATAGACCAATGATAGTTTTAACTTAATTAAGAAGATTGTCATTTAGAGAATTCCTATGACAAATACTTTGGTAAAACTGAAAATTCTCTTACAGTGTGTGTGATGAGTATACATTGTGCTAGACACAAATTAAATATGGATGTACAGAACATTCTTTTAGATGCTTGACACCTCAAATGCTTGGAAACACTCTCTCAAATGCTTGTAAATGGCTTGATCCTCTCTCTGAATAGTGCAGGCCTTCCTGACAACTGAATTCTCTCAGGACCCATCTCAGGCCCTGAGTTTAGCTCGAACTAGTGCTTGTTAAATGGATGAATGTCCTGAGAGTAGAATTTCTATCATTTAAAGCATAAACCAGGGAACATATCCCTGTCTTTGGTACCAAGAAGTGATGCTAAATGAAAACATACATCAGTTTTTGAAAGGGTTTAATTGTGTTTAAGAATAACAGGTTCTCTCGTAGCATTGTCTAAGTGACATAACCCTGAATTTTGTTGGACAGCTAACATTTATCTCATGCATCGTCAGAGAAAGAGGCATATTATGTAGAAAAAAGAGAGAAACAAGGAGACGTACACACAGCCAATGGTTGGTTTGCTGAGGGATTGTCAACAGCATTGGTCAACATCTTCCAGAGCTATATCAGGACCACATTATTTTAAAACCTTCTGGAGAATGCATAAAACAAGAATCAGGATGACTGTTTTTTATTTTACACTTTAGGTAAACATATCAATACAATCTATCCCTTTCAGATACATTTGGGGTACCTGTTATGGGCCAACTCATAAATCCTTTATAATTTCTGTCTTGGTGAGGTTCACACTCTGGTGAAAAAAGAAGCAAATGCATACCTGAGTGAAAGGGGAGAGGCTGTGAGTAGAGCAGGTTTGATGTTGGGTATTTGTGTGAGCCTACTCATTTTGAAAAGTCTGTTCGACATACAGGCAGAGTACCAGTCTGACTGGAATAAGAGGGCCTCAGTTGTCTGGCACCACTGAGTAGCCACTGAAGCTATAACAACACATTGAGGTGCCAATGGGGTCCTTCCCACTGAGACACTCTTTGACCTTGGAGTGGTCTACACAGTGAAAATGCCACTAGAACATAGGGGTGAAAGGGGACTTACATCCACTGCTGTAGTTACTATGGTTGTCCCCAAAGGGCTAACTGGCTGGGTAGAACAGCTCACACCCACAGTTCTAGCACTTTCGAGGCAGAGGTAGGTTGGTTTTCAGTTCCAGTCAAGCTTGGGATACCAGGTAAATAAGACCATGTCTCAAAACCAAACATAATAAGCAGCCAGATGTCTGCTTCAGGATGAGGTACACTAAGAAATGAATCACAACACACACACAAATCCCAAGGTACCAGGTATTTTGGAATACTACATTGAATGCTTTTCTGATGACAGGCCATTTTTCCTTTATAGACAAAGCCCTATAGAACTCTTGAATAATATGAAAACTTTTGATAACTCAAAGAAAATCATACTTTGTAGCTCGTCTGGAAACTGATGGGGTTGGATTGTAGACCTGTAATATGAAAAAATAAATGACCCAGAGACTGATACTGGGGTTCAAGCTTCAAGCTAAATATCAGAAAAGCAAAGCAGCTGGCCACTAGCTTCTCACCTCAGGCTGAATGGGTCGATGCTGTCTCCATGAGCTCTCACCAAGTCTCAGACTGTAACCTCTCCTCAGTGTGGCTGGTGAATGAATGCCTCTCTGTGACCTTGCTTCTGCCTTATATACTTCCCTAATGTTGGGATTAAATGAGTAATAGTTCTCTTTTACACTGATTCACTCTTGTGTAGATCTGGGTGGCTCCGACTCACAGAGATCCCTCTACCTCTTAATTCTGAGTCCTCTTAGGAAAACGCAAGCCACCCTAAAGTCTCCTGGGAAGCATGTGGCAATTCTGCCAGTTTGTTCTGTTTGAAGACTAAGGCCAGCCTTGGGGGATTTCTCTTTGGTCCAGTGATCTGGGACAAGAGCTGCCTGGAGTCTCTAACCATTCTTTCCAGTGTGCAGCCCATCCCCGTAACAAATGAGCTCATGCAGGCACAGCCTGTGAATAGAGGTCTACCAAAGACCTCTATTATTTTTGTCATACCTGCAGGAGTCAAAGGCAAAGCACTTCAGTTCTTTGGACTATTTGCAAAGACCATTGGTTGGCTTTGCCTTTTGAAAATTTGATTCCTTGAAAATTAGGTTTAGAATGGAGAAGGGATAATTTTTCTTTCCAATTTAAAAGACTTGTTAGAGAGCTACTAATCAGCTTGGGAAGCAGGAAAGTGAGGATACCCATCCCAAGGACTTTGAGGACTCACACACATCGAAGTGAAAGGAAACATGTCTTTTGAATCTCTTTAAGAAATAATTTACTGGTTAAGTACCCTTTACACGTTCAGTCTGGTGAACCTCATCAAATGTCCTTAGTCTCCTGTACTTTACCCACCCTTTCCATCACTTCCCTCTTTTCTATCCTCCCAATCTCCCATCTGTTCTCAGTAGGACTGGTTTTGCCTTTCCTAGAATTGTATGAAGTGAGTCCTAATGTATGTATTCTGCTGTGTCAGCTTCTTTCTGTGTTCTTAAGCTGATGTTACCACTTATGCCTGTAGCTGGCTTGATCCTTCCCATTGCTGAGTAGAACTTCGTTTTATGGATGTATAATCGCTTATTTATTTGCTGGTGAACACTGGTTACATTTCTAGATTTTGGCTATTACAGATACAAAGGCATTGTGTATGCTTTTCCATTGACATGAGATTTAATTTCTCTTGGAAAGTAAATGACTAGATTGCAGGATAGACATTTTAAAAGGAATTTATACACCATTTTCTGAAACCATGGTACCATTTCTTTCTTAAAAACTGCTGTTACACATTATGAACTCAACATCTAGCTCTGCAAAAGATGTTTGGTTCATTCTTCCATCAGTTTATTATAAGAAATAGCAGGGTTTTCTGCTTTTCCAAAGTAGATCTGATGACCTTTTCTGAGGCTGTAGTCACGGACGTAAGGGTGGGTGGGTAGAGATCACTGGCTTGCCCAAGCTCTACCAGCTGTGTATAAGCTAAACTAGTAGTGGCTGACTATGGATAATCTGAACTACTAAATCAAGGAGATCTTGATTCAAATCCCAGTTGGACTGAGTAAACTCTTTATTCTCAGATTGAAGGTTTTAATTTCTAAAAGATAAACTCATTTAGAGTTGTGAGAAGTGAGATAATGCAGCTAACACACTTGATACACTGACCAACAAGGCCCATACTCTTCTCTACTTATACATCAGCTACCTCAAAATATGAAATAGTTGAACTATGTAATAAATGCCTGCCAATTCTATCTAGATCGAAATAGTGCATACCTCAAAACTAAAAGATTCTCATCTAGTTAAAAATCACTTTGTAAGAGCTTAACCAGCTGTGGTGAGAATAAGGAAAAGATGTCAATGAACAAAAATGTTTACTATATGCTGCACTGTACACCAGAGCAATGGAGACCAGCAAAATTCCAATAAGCAATGGCTCCATTAGTTAAGTTGGCTAGACACATGGGTCAGCAAGGGGCTGACTTTACAGTTCAGGAAATTGCATTTGGAGGGAAGTGAGGAGAACTGACTTAAGTCAGCTTAGGGAGCTTAAACAAAGCTTTGAACCCAGAACCACAGGACTCAGATATTACTGCTGGATTCCGGTTGCACTGGTCATGCCCACATTCACATACCGTAAAAGTTCCTCAAATCTATCCAGGGTGTGGATTGTTTTTAGGAGATTTGCAAGTTACACTAAGCTACAGGTCCAGCTAAACTTCACAGCAGAGTATCTTGGAGGTGGACTGGGGAGCCTCTCTTATGACCTAATTGGACTGTGTGGCACAGTCAGGTGGATTAAGAGCACACAGGGAAGGAAGTAAAGAGGAAGAGGAGGGCTGTGAGGCAGAGCATGGAACATTCCTACAGCCAGATAAGAATAAAAATGAACTGAAGGGAATTTGCACATACAAAGCAGTATGTACTACCTTCAAGATCAACCAAGGGTCAGCCCATGAATAATTCATGGTACTAGAGGAAAAATGTTTTTCACCTGATGCTGCTTCCTAACTCAACTCTGCAGTGTCTCCCTCTCACTGGAGAATCAAGGGCAGTCTCTTTTCACTGCTGGGAGCCTGTGATGAGAATCCTGCTTAGTATGTTAAGACAGTAACTATATAGAATGGATCAGATCTGTCTGGGCAAAACTGAATCTGACAGGCAGGAGACTTCAATGAGAAGAGTTTATACAGAAATCCTATAGTGTTTTTGAAGGAGCTTATTTCATAGTCCTTTGAGCTACAAGATCCTTGTTTAAGAATGATGCTCTCATTTTGCAGATCAGAGTTGGAGGACCACATCTACAGAGATAGGCCAGGATCTCAAAATATTAAATCCAAATCCCTCCAAGAGTTCCTCCTGCCAGAAACATGGCAAGCAAATCCAAGGACATGAAGGAAGCTAAATGGTACAGAAGCTGGAAAGGGTATGTCTACCCAGGAGACAATCTGAGTGATTTAAAGAGAAGTACATACGCATGTGTCATATGGGGAGGGCAAATGAAAGTATGCTATGGAATCAAAGGAGGGGAACTTTATGAAGATGCAGGTTGGCACTGAGGATGTGAGAGCTGTGGGTGAGCAGTGAAGGGAGGGAGAAAAAGCATACAGAGGGATCAAATACCCAGAACAGCCCAGAGCCTTGTAGGAGCCATTGGAAATTATATTGGGTACAAAGAAACATAAACAGGATTAGAACACAAAAAGCCCACAGTCAAGCTGTGAAATTCATGTTGATTAGTAACAGGGTGACATTCAAGACTCGAGCTCTATTGACAATGAAGAAAAAAGTCTAAATCGACAGTTCTCAATGATGTTCAAGATATTTAAATTTCTCCTTTGTTCTCCAATACTCTACTGTCATAAAGCTTTTGGATGATCCAAGGCTGACTGCAAATGATGCATTTGTGTGTGTTACGCTCAAGTATTAAGCTACTGTATTACATTTCTTGTAATTCTCTAAGAATATTTTCTTTGGATGATCATATAGTCATTAGCGCTGGAAGGCTCCTTTGGAAGCACTAGAAAATTCTTTGTAAACAGTTGTTTCATAAATTGATGAACGTATGTCTATCAGATGGTAGAAGATATGAATTCTATATCACTGCATAAAGTTCCAGAAACACTTTATTTAAAAATGGAGTTGTAAATGCATAACAAAATAACGTAATAAATGTAACAAAAATAAATAAGGAGAATGTATTCATACAAAATAAAAATAACATAGTAAAAGGCCAAATGTCTATAATTGAACAAAACTGTGTAAACAAACAATAATGTAAGTATATATTTTAATACTTTCTTAGACTCCTTATCATGTACTTCCATGTGGACAGACTCAGTACCAAACATTAACTAAAGGAGGGAACAATGGTGATTGTTTTGCATAATTTTCTTCAAATGGACTGACCCTGTTTCTATGTTTTGTTTGTTTCTTCAAAGCATCTCACTTCCCTTATATTTTTTGAAACTCTTTTGAAGCCTTACTTCATGAGAATTGATGGTTTAGCTTTACAAGGAGAACAGATCCTTTTCTTTCTTTTTAATTTAAAGAAAAATACGAGGAGATCCATTATACAGCAGACTTTTGCTTTTACATCTTTACAAAAAGATTTTTCAGTTTTATTAACTGATCCAACAGCACAGGATTTCTTAGATCCTGAAAAATCTTGAAGTATACATTTAACCTTCCCTTAAAACAAATGTAGCACAGGCAGGTTATTGCTAATATATCAAAGACCATATCATAAAAGTTGCAGTTTACTCTTTATAGACTAATGGGGCCATTGAAGCAAATCCAGGCCTATTAATATTTAAAAGAATTAAGATTCACCCAAATTATAGTGTTCTGGAAACACAAAAATAATTCCTTTATTTAAAAACTTATTGAAATGTGAGCTTACTGGAAAGAAAAGCAAACAGTAACAAAAACAAAGTTTAAAGAAGGTATTTTTCACAGGCTTTCTTTATAGTAGCTATCAGCCCAAAGCCTTAGTCGTCGCTGCTGTCTTGCAGGGTCCTTACAAATGTGTGAGACTGACACACGGTTACTATGGACCTACAGGGAAACACAGAAGCAATTCAATGACTGGGAGTGGAACTATCAACTACTCTCACAATTACTGGCTCTCCACATCTCCTAATGAAGAAAAATTAACCTCATGATCATTTCAGAGGGACCCCCCTCCCCAACTGCCACATAAAAACACAGGATTAAATATACATGTTCTTAATTTTAAAAATATACTCCACCTAAACTATCTATCAAGTCTGACCTTACTAGTTGTCATTTCATCTAAAAGGAGAGACAAAAGTCTGATTTCCTTACAAAAGAAAAGAAAGGTAGGAAGGAAGGGAGGGAGGGAAGTAGGGAAGGAAAAAAAGATAAAAGTGCCAAATGGATCTTTTTGAAAAGTGGAGCAAAATACTGTGGGGTTAAAACAAATACAGTATTGTTAGCTTCCTATGTACAGAAAGACAAGTCAGTCCTTAATGATATATAGATATGTCCATCTATCACTCCCAGTAAATCTTAGTGCAAACATAAGTTAATTTCAGTAAACCCCAAGACAAGTTACTTAGCAACAATTATATAAATCACACTATGTTGGAAAAAATCTTAGGACACAGGATGATTGCTGTGGAGGGTCTGTTTTACTCTACAGAGCATAGTGTCACTGTGTCCAATGACAGTAAGTAATAATATAAACCCTATTATTAAGAAGCAAGTTGGATGGTTTAACAATCTGTACAGCTGACGAGAAGTTCATCTCAGGAAGTAGCTTGGCACACGAGACACAGGGACTCAGAAGTGTTGGATATTTTAGTGTGTAGGTCACAGCATGGCTTAAAACAAAAAACACAAAGATCTATGAAGGGAAAGGATGCAGTGATATGATTCAACTTGAAAACCATGAAACCACAAAAGGCAAAACCGACACAAGCTGCCTTTTGCTAAGTGTGCTTCAAGTGGTTGTTTGAGTGGTTTGAAAAGACTGGTATGACACATTAGAGGTAAAAATAAATAAATCAATCAAGAAGACAAAGATAACGAGATTGTTGCTGACCAAGCTCTCTTGTTTTGTATGTCAACACCATGCTGCTTCCAATACCCCTAGTCACTCCACAGGTAATGTCACTCATGTACTGTAGCATCTTCCTCTTCCCCATCAGGGTTGAACCTATTGAAATGGATACTGAAATCAGCCTCAGATTCGGCATTCTCAAACGCAGCTGAGGCTGCAGCAGCTGCAGGGTCCAGAGCCCTGGTTTCTGGGGGGCAAAGTGCTGGTGTCTGACCAGGGCTGGTGTGGTTATTAACAGGACTGGACTTCTGTTTTGGTGGAGATGGCAGGATAGCATTGGGAAATCCCATGTTGTTAAGAGCCTCCAAAGTTCCATCTGGGTCAATCATGGCATTGATCACTGAAAGGAAAAATAAAAAGAAAGAAAGAAAAAGAGATGTAATTCTGTTTTAAATAACTTATGGATATGAGCATTGCTTACTATTAAGACAGACTTTAGCTAGTCCTCTACTATTGTACTCCCGTGGTTAATCTACATTGGAGGTTATACAGACCTGAATATGCTTCCTATATCCCCTATGGTTCCTACAGACACTTTAGGAGACTGAACAGACTATCACTTGGAAGGGTTAAAGCCAAGAGCTTTTGGAAACTTGCTTTTACCATCATAGAAGGGTCCCGAAAATACAGGTTATGTTTTTACCACCAAGATTTTGTCAAATATAAATAGCTAAGTATCTTCACAATCGCACTTTATGCCAGGTATGATGGCACCAGAGGTAGAGGGAGGAGACTCAAGAGTTCCAGGGAGTTTGAGAACAATTTGCATCAAAAGCAACAGTAAGATTTTCACACAATCTAACCTTATAGTATTTTAGTTTTTATATTGGGAACTATGCATATATTCATTTTATGTGGCTGGACTAGAAGGTAGGGCCTCGCTCATGCTAGGCAGGAACTCTAGGACTGACATTACATCTTCAGTCCTTTTATAGAGTTGTAAAAATTCCCTTTTATGAATAATTTGGATATATTCAACACTGAGCTTTTATATTATTGGTTGTTACATTTAGTTAAGCACTGTCTCAATAATTAAGAATATAATAAATACATTTTCAGAAATAGAATACACTGAGCTGGTCTCAAACTTAATCTTCCTGCCTCTGCCTCCTGAATGCTGGGATTATAGACATCCACCATAACACCCTATACTCCCATATCCAGAAGCATAATTACTTAACTTAGTAGTAAATTTACCTTGCAACTGTTTTTCAACTCTTCTCAGCTCTTGCAAAATAGAAGAAATCTCCTGCAGGGAAAGCAATACTCCAAATTAGCTTCCTAAAACATTCTCAGATTACAAGCAATGTGTCTCTATCACTATAGTATTATCTTAGTACCTACACCAAAGGATACCCAACAAACAAGATCCAAATTAGAATCTTCAATAATGAAATTGAGTTTTTTCAATAATACTAATAGAAATTCAAGGCAATTTACTACTATAGAACTGAAGGTTTTGAAACATTTGTTCCTATCACCTTTGCAACATTTTAACAATGTGCTTATGAGTTTTCTTTAGAAAAATATATAAAGTGAAACATCACCATAGGAAAACAATCTGATAAATCCATGCTTTTTAAAAGACAAATACTGTATTAAGTAAATGGAAGTAATATGTCAACTTAAGATTGAAGTTCTAAATAATGTTCTTTGTAATGTATAATTATCACAAGAACAAGATGCATCAGTGAGAAGCACAGAAGATCCTCCTCAGGGCTCTGCAACCTTGAAACAACTGATATTTTAAACACCACTGGTTGAAGTTTACTGAATCTATGCATTCATACAGTCTTCTAGAATGTCAACTAACAAATATTCAAAACTATTTCTTCCTTGCTAAGGACGCCATGCCACTGAAATGTTTTAGTTTTGAAATGCTACAATACCATGCTTGAGGTCTTCACAATAGGTACTTCACTTTCAGCTCTTAACTTGCTCTCTATGTCATCCCAGTTCCGATCTTTGTCTTTAAATAATATTCTAAAGGTCAAAGAAACACAAGCATTTTAACCTTTCATGGTTTGGTGATAATATAAAAAACACGATATCACTGCAAAACTACATAAAGAAAAATAAAACAATTATTAAATAATCTCAGAATTAATAATTAGCTAACACTATCAATTCATGAATGTGAAAACATATTAAAAACATAACTGACTGGATACTAACACATGCCTAAAACTAATGTGTATCTTATTATTATTATTGTTATTTTTGTTTGTGTTTTCGAGACAGGGTTTCTCTGTATTGTTTTGGAGGCTGTCCTAGAACTCACTCTGTAAACCATGCTGGCCTCGAACTCACAGAGATCTGCCTGCCTCTGCCTCCTGAGTGCTGGGATTAAAGGCCTGCTCCACCAACACCCAGCTTGTATCTTATTTTTAACTGAAAGTTGAATAGAAGTATTGTTATTACTTGTAACTAATGATATACCCAATGCTTAAGAAAGCTTAACTTTATAAAGTGATAGAAATGCAAAGTATAAGTAAAACAAAATTAGGTATGCAAATGTTGGTTAAAACATCTTTACACAGGAACCATCAACCTTTCTTGATGGATCAAGGTTTGAACATTATCTTAAAGATGGAAAGTTAGACTACTTACTGAATTGCTATTCAAATTCTTAATTCATGTCAGTGTATTCGCATATAACTTAGGAGTTAAGACAGTATAGTTTTATATATTTCTAATAAAAAGAAGTGTTCTAGCCGGGCAGTGGTGGCGCACGCCTTTAATCCCAGCACTCGGGAGGCAGAGGCAGGCAGATCTTTGTGAGTTCGAGGCCGGGCAACAATACAGAGAAACCCTGACTCGTAAAACCAAAGGAAAAAAAAAAAAGAAGTGTTCTATATGAGAAACTCAAACTTCTTAATTTTTAAAGTACTATAATTTTTTTGTCAACTAAAAGCAGAATTTTCTCTCCAATACATTAAAAAATCTGAGACACAAGTCATCAGTTTAGAAAGATTTAAAGACCTTGCCATTTAAGCTCTTCAATAAATCTGGTCCAATAAATCCTGTCCATTAGCAGTCTTTTTTTTTTTTTTAAGATTTATTTATTATGTATACAGTGTTCTGGTGGCATATATGCCTGTAAGCCAGAAGAGGGCACCAGATTTCATTGTGGATGGTTGTGAGCCGTGTGGCAACTGGGAATTGAACTCAGGACCTCTGGAAGAGCAGCCAGAGTTCTTCACCTCTGAGCCATCTCTCCAGCCCTCACTTAACATTCTTAATGGTATTTTTTCAAATGTTATTTAAAAGCACACATTAATCAAAATTAAGTTCTGAACATCTGTAATTTTTCACAACCAGGTTAAGAAAGGTAGAGAGCCCACAGAAGAAAATTCTTCTGAGCTAAGAAATTTCCCAAATAGAAAAAACTGGTTGTCAATGCCAGGCACCTAGGAGCTTCATTTAATGACTATGCTATCAAGGAATAAGAAATGCATGTGCCTTTTCAAATAGTCTTTTTATCAACAAGACTTCTGAAAAGTAAGAAAATAATGAGGACTCAATAGGCTAAGTGAAAACTACAATGGGCCTGTACACAGAAGTATTTGTTTAGCAATGAGGTGCTAAAAATTCAGGGACTTTTTCCAGAAGATACTGGATGAGTATAATATGCATGGCTTCTAAATCTCCTAAAAATTTCCTTGTTGGTGAAAAGAACATAGGACAGCTACTCAAGGTTCCCAATTCACCGCAAACAAAATCCTATTGGAAGAATAAGATCTTATTTTTAAAAACACTAGATGTCAAACCTATCACTTTAGCTTTAGGAAATTAACTCTAATCACATATACGGATGCTAAGGAAGCAGAAAACCATATTAGCAGGTTATTTTAGACAAAGCGTAGGTCAAAACCTCTTTTACTTGGAATGGTCCTTTAATAATGGCCATCAGATTACAATAAAATTCAAAAGAGTAGCTGGGGCTAATCTCCACCATGAAAACACAATAAATTTCAAAGCTTATTTCATTTAAAATTAGTACACTAAATTTTTTTTTCCAATGAAGTTGTTGGCATTGGGAGAAAAATGTCTTACCCATATATAGTAAATCCTTAATACAAGTAGTCTGGGATGCAAACAGTAGTTTACCACCTGAGGGCCAATTGTCACCAAGCTAGAGGACTGGAAGGTGGCAAGAATGCATGTGCTTAGATTTTCACTGGGCATCTTGAGTTTGTTTGTTTCTAAGCTGTGGTCATTCCCCAAACCGCCATGGCAATCCCCATGCTCTGTATTATTTAGATGTGTTTATCAGAAATCACACACTTTTCATTACTTTTCCCACATCCCCCTTCCAAATATCTGGGGTGAAGGTGAACTTCTGCTGTAAGAAGATGTGCTGCTGTGACTGGTGTAATAAAAATCTGAATGGCCAACGGTTAGGTAGAAGGCAGGTGGAACTTCCAGGCCGAGAGAACTCTGGGAAGAGGAAAGGAGGGATGGCCAGCCAGACGGAAGCAGGATGGGCAGTACAGAGTAAAGGTAACTGAGCCACATTAAAAAACAAACCAAAACACGCAGGTTAAAAGATATGGGTTAATTTAAGTTATAAGGACTAGTTAGAAACAAGCCTAAGCTAAGGCCGAGTTTTCATAACTAATAGTAATTCTCCACATAATTTCTTTTTAGCTGACCCCCCAAAGAAAAATCTGGCTACATACTACCTTCCTTCTATTGCCTTTTACTCTTAACTACACAGCAATTCATCATATATGATCCTATATATTGGTTCATCATATCTGTGTCTCAAGCTTGGCTTTCAGTAACAAACTTCATAAAAATAATCAAGACATTTTATCATCTTTTTATTTTTTTTAAAAAGTCTGCCATAAGCTTCACACATACCAAAAACCCAAAGCTCACACAGGAGGCAATTCAAACAAATGTAACATTTGTTATTTATGTCATTAATGCATTTATAGAGATTTTTAAAGTTTCCCTCAGCCACCAAATGTCAAAAATAGTGAAATCAATTAGTCAATTTATTAATCTATGTAGTATCTGGCCTCAAGTTTAATTAAATATGAAAGCACAGTATTTTTCTATGAGGGAGTCTGGGAATGAGCTCAGACAGACTGAGCCGGGTGCTCTGTGTAAGAGTCAACAACAAGGCACAAGGCAGGCAGTCTAGGATACTATGTTGTGTGAGTGACTACCTGGATAAGGATCTAGCTATTAAGAAGAGGTTTTTATTTCAGTAAGGTAGAGATAAAATTGTATGATATATTCAAGCCTTCTCACCAGCAAGTCACACATGACCATTCAATGTGATTCCCGTGACATTTTCATGGATAACAGTGTATATAGAAGAGCACTCATTTGATTTATTACCTTCCCATGACATTTTAGGATGAAGCATAAACTCAGTAATAAATTCTGCTTAAACTGACCCTTCCTTGCCTGTCACCACGCCCCTTGCCCTTTCTCGTCTCTCTTCAATTCATTCTTCTTTTCTATGAATTCCCCCAAAGGTCTCTGGTATGGGTTACCATACGATCTTATTCTGTATTTCCTTCATTACATTTTTCCCTCTGAACTAGATGCTCACATTGTCATATCTGACTTATGTACTTAATTGTGACCCTTCACAATAGAATATTGCAAATAACATACAGCCACAAATTCAATCAATGGATAAATTTAATTTAAAAATATTTACTAATATTTTGTGAAGAAAAATGGCTTTGGTTACTAATAACTGAAAGTGTCAACTCTCAATTACAAATTGGTTTATGACCAGGGACATTTGTTTAGCCAACACTACTCCTTATAGCTGAAAAGTAAATGGCAATAAGAGCAGTAAGAGTCTGTATCAGTGGCATCACTACCTCCTCACAGTTTGGGCAACAGGTTTGAAGCAGAGGGAACAGGAAACAAAGTGGTGATTAGAGAAACACAAATACCTAATTTTTCCAGCAGTTTTATCAATAGATTGTCTTATCTTCCTAGAGAACTGAAAGACAGATGACAGCAGCAGGTTATCTCCCATGACCTGCAACAGGGAAAAAAAAGCATATTAATATATACTTATTGAGTAACAAGAATACCAGCTGCAACTCACTATATTAATACTATTTATACCGATTTTAATTTAAAAGAGTGATATAATCAGAGTAATTAATTTGAGAAAAACAAAAGAAAAATCAAAAATGAGTTCCTTTGCTAAACAGTCTGTCAAAGTTCTCTATTATCATGGTCATTCCGTTCCAAAATAACACATTTTATCCTCTTTAATTACTATCATGACCCTGCCTTTCATATTTATAATTCACATTATCATAAATGGGAAAATGTAAGTAAAGTACTGTATTGTTTACTTATTCTTCAGAGACTATTAAGGCAGATAAGTTTTAAAGAATTTACTCAAAGTAAATTTTCATGATGGGGGTTGGTTGGTATTGCTGCAGTTGAGAACCAGGCGTAAAACTAGGGGTCAACAAACTTGTGTCAATGCCACTGAGAGATTTTAGACTCTGATAATCTCTGGCACAACTTAGTTCTCCTGCTGCAAGGAGAAGACAGCCACAGACAACATGAGGCCAAGGCGCATGGAGCACAACAGCTTTGTTTAAGACAGGTGGCTAGCTGAGTTAGGCCTAAATCACAAAAGACAAAGCTAATATAGGAGAGTAGAAGGACCCAGCTTGATTCTAGAAGTGGCTTCCAAAAGAGGCCTATACTGTCAGAACTAAATTCAGAGCCTCTAAAAAGAACGCAGAAAGATAAGTCATGACTTTGGATAACAAAATGCTTTAAAAAAGCAACAGAACGTGGTATAACAACATAACACAGGGATTAAATACTGTGTAAGAAAGCTGTAAGAACTGTGAAGTAAACTCTATGAGTATGACAGGAATAGGAAGTGCTCATGACACAGTCTGACCTGGATATATTGAAGTTAGAAGGTTGAGTGAGCAAATATGGAAAGCCACATGAAGAAAGGGAAAGGAAAAGAAGGAATAAAAGTGAAAAAATACATATTAAGAAGAAGAAAGGTACAGCATTCTATGGAAAGATTACCATAGAACAAGGTTTCTCCTTTTCTACTCCATAAATTATAGGTCAGTGTTATAATGTATTACAACTGATAGCAACCTTGAGTTGACTTCATCAAAAATATAAATTTCCTCCTCAAAATATTACTACATTTAGAAGAATTTATTACCTCATACCTGAGGATACACAATGAATACGGGTCAAATTACGAGATGGATCCTTTTGTTTATACCAAAAACAAATTAACCAGTATCAGGGTAAAACAGAAAAATTATGTTGTGAAAATCTCTCAAGGACTTGTACTGCAACTCTGTAGCTTTCTCATTTGGTGACACTTCTGTTCGGTATTATTAAAAGCACTCAATACTCATGATAGTGGAGAACATCCATAAAACAGTGTTTGTGAGGGAGAGGCAGGAGGGTAGTAGCTGAAGACCAACCATAGCTACATGGTACTTGAGGCCAGCCTGGGCTACATGAGACCCAGTCACTAGAACTAACAGACCAAATAAAGAAACAAGCAAATAAAACATAAAGCATTTTTTTTTTTTTGGTTTTTCTGTGTAGCCCTGGCTGTCCAGAAACTTCCTACTGTAGAACAGGCTGGCCTTGAACTCAGAATTCTGCCTGCCTCTGCATCCCAAGCCTGGGGATTAAAGGCATGTAACACCACACCTGGCAATTCAAAACATTTGTACACACTAATATTCAGGTCTTTGAACCCAGGTATCCAAAAGTACAGACCTGTGATCAGTTCCCTTTTGTGAATGTCTTGTTGCTATAGATTTCCTCTACTCAGCTCTATACACTGATCTCAATTAGCCCTTTGCATGGTGCTATTTCAAATGACCTGTGTGTGCATGTGCATGTGTGTAAAAATCCCCTCTATATCCCTCATCTTCTCTAAGCTCTTTTCATCTACTTTTCCACTGGCATAAACCTTTCTTTTCTGGGGTTTTCATTGGCATTCATTTAGAGACAGGTCTTTCCATGTTACCCAGCCTGCTCTCAAACTCTTCAAATGATTCAAAAAACTATATCCATGTGTTTACCACTACTTACTAACATTAATTAACAACGTTTTATGTGTATGAGTGTTTTTTCCTGCCTTTATGTATGTATACCACAAGCATGATTGCTGACCAATGAGATTAGTGGGTGTCAGATCCCCTGGGACTGGACATGGGTGTGAGCTACTATCTTGCTGTAGGAACCAAGCCTGGGTCCTTTACAATAGCAGCAACTTTGGAGCCATTTTCTAGTCCCATATTCGTGTTTTTAAAGACTTAATAGCTTTTATAAATAGTGGCTTTTAGGTTAACTCAGAATTAATCTTGACTCTTGTAAACATTATTAGTTTAACTTGGACAACTCCTCTCCTTAATAATGTATTAACAAACTTGATACCCTAAAGTAACTGGGACCTAATGGCAAGTAGGGATGCCTTTTCCCCCTATGTTAAAAGTTTACAGTTTGCTTACTTCATCCCTACTCCAGGTTCTCCGCCTTGTAATTGTTAAGTGATCAGGAGGCTCTGCTGCCTGAGGTCTTGAATCACCAGATCGACCATTGTTTCCTTCTGGTGTTTTAGAATGAACTAATGGAGGTATCTTTCGGAAGTTGAGGCTTTCATCAAAAACACGGTCAACCAACTAGGAGGACAAAAGCAAACCCTTATGAGAACAGATTGTAGCAAGTGTAGAAATACTGGCATTATACTTCTTTTTTTCTTTTATAGTAGAGAGTTATTTCATTTTCAAGTATTAACAGAAGCAAGATATCTTCAATAAACCAATTACTTTTTAAATAAGCACACCAAACAGGTTTCTTCCATAAAGTAGATGTTCATCCATACTGATCTTAACTTCAGAACTGAAAATATTTAGCTACACTAAGTTCAACTCTTTCATGATTAAGATGTTCTCCAAAGAAAAAACAGATGCTAAAGAGAAAAACCCCTGAGCCATGTAGGTGGACAATGAGTTCACTTTACTCACATTGCCTTACCAGTATAAAACAATGTTTCTGTTTCTTTTAGTTTTCTATCTTGCTTTTTCCTTTTTTCCTCCCCAAATCCAGGTGCCAAATTTCTTCACAAGATACATAAATGGCAAATTCCAATTAAGTTTACAAAAGGAAACAAAAATTAATCCACATAATAAGTGTTTTGGTCTTAATCAAATTTTTAACAGTGATAGAGAACATACATCTTCCTACAGTAAACATGGTGTCCTGCCACCTAAAGTGCAGACTAGAGACATGCAACACCAAGTAACAGGCTTATCAATGAGAGAACTAGTGTAACATTCTGAAATAAAACAGGGGAGAATGGAAATCTAATCTATGAAATATTTTAGTAATTCTACGGTGTCTCAGTGAATGAATAACCATGTTAGGTAAAATTTAGTTAGAAAGCTTAGAAAATAACATTATTTAAATGTACCAGAGACATGTGTATGTCTTGCCACCATGATTTTTTTTTTAAAACCAACAAAGATGACTTTATATACATTTACAATTGATCAGTGTGGTAACAAAACTCTACACAAATTAATGAAATATCATTTATTAAATTAGAAAACATACAAACAAAAAATAAATAGGAAGTGACCATTAAGGAGCTTTATAAGAAAAAAATGTGACAAAAAGCAACTGAAGAAAAGATTATCAGCACAGTTTACCAGAACTAAATGTCCAAAAGGCTAGGCATGTTTGGTTACTATTTAGAACATTTAATAAGATAAAGAAGTGGAGTTATCAGTATGAGGGTAAGATGCTGGCAGCACTGTTCTGTAAAGGGGCAGATAGTAAATGTTCTTGGCTTTGCAACCATGCAGTCTGTCTGAGAATTCAGTTTTTCACTGCAACATAGAAACAGCCATAGACAACAGTTAGGCAAGCTAGAATGGCTATACTGTAATAAAAATTTGTGGTACTGAAATGTGAATTTAAAATGATTTCCATGTTATAAATCACTATTATTTTCATATTTTCAATCATTCAAAAACATAAAATTTATCTCTAGTTTTTAGGCCATTTAAAGACAAACTCATTCCTTTAAAGGCGAGCCCTTTGACTCAAGATAAAAACAGTCAACATGAATAGAGCGTATAGTCAATCTTCTCCATAAGTATGGACAATATGTTTTTTAAATGCTGTATGTTTACTAGACATATATGAACATCTTTCATGTCACTCACTATTCTCTAAACAATACAGCCAACTATTTTGATACTATAATAGGTTTCGTAAATAACCCAGAGATGAATGTAAAGAGGAAGGATACCCATAGCTTACATGTAAACTCTACCATTTTATCTAAGAAACTGGGATATTCTCAGGTTTTGACATGTGCCTTGGAATTAATCTCCACAGATACACTGGGATAAGAGACCACTGTATCATCAATTTTAAGATAAAGGTAATTTGTGCAACAATGTTACACAAGTAGTATCTTCTGGAGCTGTACTGATGGAGGTCATGGTTTTGGGTGGCCAACAGTTTACAAATCCTAACTTATATTCTAGAGTTTGTAAGAATATTTGGAGTACTTATGTGTAAAAGTGAGAGAGTTTGTGTAATATACATCTCAGCTTTAAAAAACAATACTGTGTATATCTGTCAACAGAATTACTATTTTTAAAGGCTGTAGAACTTTTCTCTTTCTTTACTATTAATTAGTAATGACTACTTCTTTTAATTGGTGTATTTTTCATGTCAAACTTCATTGAAACCATAAGTCATTTGAACTTCAGTTTGCTTTCCAAATAACATTTATATTCACATTTCAAGTAATGTTACAGATCAGGATTCAACCGGCAGTTCTTATAGCTAAATAATTTTCTATTTTTATGTTAATAGTAGACCAAATATTAGCCTTTTAGTCTGTTACTAACTTATAAAACATAAATTTGTTAAAGCAAAGTTGGAAAATGCAGAACTGCATGCAGACGGGGAGGGTGGACATAACTAAAATAAACTAAGCAAAAAGCTAAAAGCAAAAGAAATTAAGAAAAGAAAGAACCTTATGCATTTCTCCATGAAGATCTCCTACCTCTTCTCTAGTGTCTATGGCAGAGCCAGGGGTGGTGGCAGCAGTGCTTACTGTGGTACTAGGGGCAGTGCCTGAGGAAGTCACTGAATCTATTTCTCCTGCTACATCGTTGATCTCCCGAGCAATGAGAGCAAGATCTTGGCTGATCCTAGAAATAATTTCAGAAAAGAAATTTAATTCCCTTTAAATAACAGCTTCAGCAACAACCAGTTTTGACACTCATGTAACTTATTCACAGAAGTACAGATTGATATCCCAAAATTAAGGTTGTTTGAAAATATTCTTTACAATTTTGGTACACACACACACACACACACACACACACACACACACACACACACACCTACCTTTAATTTCAAATACTAACATTAACGAATTAACTTCAAAATAATCTATCTTGAAAAATACATTTTGAATACTCTAAAATATACATGTTATAGAGACTTAAATTTGGAAATGACAGAAAACAGTTTAAGTATCTGAACATGGATAACATAAAAGAAGGACATTATTTTCACTAACCTAAGTGATGCTTATCATTTCAATTATAAATACAAGCAACAGACTACAGTGGAGTTAACAAGGCTAGGGACTTTTGTCACCAACAGAAATCACACTAAAGTTATTTATAGGCATCTCAAAACATCGTTTATAGTGATTACTTTTACAAACTAATGACAATTACTAAATGTGTTAATAAAGAACCATCAGCTATTATGTCATCAAATATTTATTTCCATAAGTATATTCTAGCACTATTGAAATTCTTTGTAATTTGAAGTATTTATGCAATTGGAGTCATACAATTGGAAATGCTAAGATAGCTTCCCAAAGTTCACTGAAGAGGACTATGGCAATGAGAAGTCAAGAACTCTGAAGCACTGTTTTACACGACAACAGCATTTTCTACTCTCTATCATGCCATCTGAGGACCATAATATTCTTCTGAAGTAGAACTTAGCTCAATTTGTTAATAAACACACTATGAGAAAAGCGTAGTGACCTGCTTATGACTGCACAACTTGGAAGGACCAGATCTTAGTTTACCACTCAAGTCTATGAAGCTCTCTGTGTTCACTCCCATGAGCTAATTAATTAACTATGTTTTTTCTGTTTGCTTGTTTTTTGAAACCCGGCATTTGGCTAGCCTGAAGACTGAAACTTTCAGCAATCATCCTGCCTCTGCCTCCTGAGTACTGGGATGTTATGTGCACCACAGTATCTGGCTCATCAGCATTCCAGGCAAACACTCTACCAGTCACACCTCCAGCTCAGTTCTGGTCAGGAGTGGCAAAAGTGAAAACAGTTTCCTCTTAGCATTTAAAGAAACTATTTAAGAAAGAGAAAAAAAGAATTCTGTCATTGAATCTTAAAAAAGATTTCAATTCTTAGAATTTTTCCACATTATATATTTGTTGGACATAAAACTCAGTTTGGCTTCTTCCATAGAGAAGGTTCCAGAATGACAGACTATACTTAAAAACACATGTGAAAGCTTAAATAACTTTCAAAGTACAAAGAAACATTTAAAAAGCTTACAAAATATGGTCTTAAATATTTTCTTAAAAATTTCTTTTAGATGTATATGTATGAATGTTTGACTGTATTACTATGTATATATAATATACACACATGTATATGTACATGCACATGTGTGTGCACAGACCATATACAGTCTGGTGCCCACAGAGGTCAGAAGAAGGTGTTGATGAAGGCCGTGAGTCACCATTCGGGAGCAAGGAACCAAATCTGGGTCTTCTGTGAGAGTAACGAATATTTTTAACCTCTGAGCCATCTCTCCAGTCCCCAAATGTAGGTTCAAAAGATATTCAAGGAGTACAACAATTGTGTAAAAATTAAACCAATTTTAAAACAAAGCTGTGGTGAAATTTATGAGTTGACAGATATGTAAGGTGATTTTGTGTGTGTGTGTGTGTGTGTGTGTGTGTGTGTATTTCCTTGTAGGAAACTGCAGCTTCTCTCTTTTATGCCAGTGCAAAAAGGTAGGGGAAACACCAACAAATATTTCCTGATCATTTGTTATTTGCCAGGTACTACTCTGTGCCCTGAGGGAACAACACAGAAGAAGTTACAGGGTTTCCCTTGCTCTTCTGGAGCTTAGAATAAATAATGAGCACCATTATAAGGAATTTTCACATTTACCATTTCATCAACTAACTCCTCACAAATAACTTCTAAGTGAGGTATTTATCATTTTATTTTATCAGTGATAAAAATGAAGCTTAGAAGTCAATGTGAATTTTGTAGGCTAAGGACACAGGGAGTAAGAATATCACTAGGCCTTTGTATTATACCACACTACCATGCAATTTTTCAAACTTAACTGCTGATGTGACTGAGAATAAGCTGGGGTATGTTATGTAAGATAGATTTAATATCCCTAAACTGAAATAACTGGATCTAAAATGCTTCAAAACACAAAGCTTTTAAGCATCAACATGACAGTACAAATGGAAAATTATATACCTGAACCTATATCATAAGTTTCAGTCAAACTCAGGCGTATTAAAAATGTCACATAAAATTATCTTCAGGTTATGTATATAAAGTACACATGAAATAAATTTTGTGTCTAGAATTGTGTTCCCTTCCCAAGATACCTCACCATGTATATATATATACATATATAAAACACTCTAAAAAACCCAAATCACAAACAGTTTCAAGTACTTTGAATAAAATGCCCAACCTGGGTTATAAATTCTTTCCTGAAATAAATGAACTAGGCTGAGAAACAGAATAAAAAGGTTTGATGTGATTTTAAAAAAATAAGCATCAGTTTACTTATTAAACAAATCTAATTTTTCTTTGCATATATTTATATAATGAAATATGATATTCATTAAAGTGGTAAGAATAAAAAGGCAGTTAAGTTATCCTCATGTATTAGAAGGAAATTTGTGTAAAAATAAGAGATTCTCATGTATATACACCATATAAGGTTCAAGAGGTACTTTTTTTTATTTGCTGGCATCTTCTGCACATGACTGCTATATCTTGGAAAGGTAATTCCCGTCTTAAAGTCAGTTCAGATTAACAACCTACTAGTAAAAATTTAAGCAGCTGGTCAGGTGTGGTGGCACATATCTAATATAAACACTTGAGAAGTGGAAGCAAGAATCAGAAATTCAAGGTTATCCTCAGCTTAAGCTTGAGGCCAGCCTGGACTACATGAGACCTTGTCTCGGACACAAGCAAGTCCTCAGCATTCATTACACAAATCACTACAAGAAAATTTGAGAAGAAAAGAGTTATAGAAATATTCTGAACAGAAATGAAGCACCTGTTCAATTTAGATAATGGGTCTAAGTCATGCAGTTACCAAACTAGAGATTTTTAACTTAACTTTATAAAGTTCCTTGATATATCTATTGGATTACAGTCACATGTTTCTTTACATGTAGTGCTATGTTCTGCTTTTAAACTTTCAGTCTACAAACTCCTCTCATTCCTATCCCCTCCAAATCTGCTACAAGAAATCCCAAAATAGTAAAAATATTTTATTTGGGGCTATATAATATGGTTTCCTTAGCAAATACCAAAAAATTAAAATTGCCAATTTTAAAACCTAATATACAATTCCACGTTCTATTCCATTTTCTTTAATACAAAATTTTAAGACAAAAACATCCCAAAGATAAAAAATGTAAACCAAGTGTAAAGATCAAGAACACTGCTAGTCCTTCTATACCAAGTGATAAAAGCTGTCACCACATTTCATATATTTTGTAGAAGGAATTATCTGCTTCACAAGCAAAGTGAACTGAAAAATGTACTTTGGGTTGGCAAGTTTATGATTTTCATGCATGTTCTGCTTAGTGACAACACTTTCCTTATTTAATACATTAGAGGTTTGCTTTCTTTAGTGTATACTGTAAATGCATTATTATAGACTTACAAGTATATTGGAAGTTTAAGAAATACTTTAAGACTTTTTCATACTAAGAAACTATAGAGAAGATATAAAGTGTTTTTATTATGAGAACAATATAAAATTATTTGAGTTTGGCCAGAAGATATGAACCTTCCTTGGTCGTGAATCTATAATAGTCTAGCGAAAAATATTTTGTAAACTGTTAAATACAATGCTGACCTTAAACCCCAACTGTAAGTGAATTCTCATAAAGTTTATGGAATAAACAGAAAAGCCCTAATGAAAATCAACGATCACTATTTCCTCTGTTCTTAAAATATAACATTTATTATTAACTTATTATCAATCACAAACACTAATGCTAGCACTGGTATTATACCGACCACAGATTTACAGAGTTTATGGTAGAAAAGGATATGAATCTAAAGTCTGATTTTATAGTTCATTTCTGGGCCATTCTGTTATACTTCAGCTCTATAGCTTAGGTGACCACCTGGAGCCAGCAGTATTAAGTCTGTTCACTATCTCTTGTGATATCATTTACCACCATGGCTTTTAATTGTTTTCTTTGTGAATGACCTCTACAACTGATTCCAGCTCCAACTGGCCTCTTCTGTTTCAGTACTAATATGACTATGTTGTCCTCATGGGAACACTTAAAAATCTTGAATTAATATATAGAACACAATTAAATAACTCAAGTATATATAAATATGATGCAAAATAGCATACTAGAGGTTTATATAAAAAACATAGTATTTGCAAAGCATAGTGCTGAGATAAAATAAAAAATACTATATTGGCTTTAGTTTAAAACGATTTAATTTAATATCTATAATGAACTGGTTGTTTTCTCTGAATACAGTTAACTAGACTTTTCAAAGTATAATTAAATGTTGTAATATATGTGTAATAATGAATTTAAAATACAATAATACTGCTAAGATCCTTGTGATTCAAATGTGAATTATATAATCATCTAGTATAACTTTTTCTGCTAAAAGTATTTGGTCATTTGCAAAGGTAAAACTCTAGCTTTGTCTACGTTAGTATTTATAAAACCACTAAAACCAAAAAAAAAAAAAACCACTAAAACCTATCAAATTCCTGCAGGAAGGAAACTTCTTTTATGCTGTACTTAAGCACATGGATCAAGAATATCTGAAAGAAAATCTTCCTTTACAAACTGAAAGACCAACTATGCTGTAATTTGCTTATATGTTTTCTATGCTGGATTAACCTTGTTTTTATTTAAATACAGGTAAAGAACAATGAATCAAACAGGTTTACACTTAAAAGAAGACAGAGATAAATCGACCAGAGCATAAACCATTTTTGTAATAAAGTTTAAAATTACATTTGTCTATTATAAGAATGTCAAGTATTTTTCAATGGTTAGTGAGTTGTTTAGGAAACAGCAACATTTCATAAAAAACAATTATTTCTCTTATTTAGCTTGATTTAAAGTCTTTGAAAATAATTATTCTCACATTATTCTAACTTATCATCACTCCATTAGAGCACTAAACATCAGCTCCCATTCTTTCCCCCGATAGTTTTCTTCGATCTCCCTCTTCTATTTTTTTCATGGGGGGGGACCAGTTCTGACTTATATATTCTTTTAAAAATGAAAACATTAAAGGCTAGATACTATTAACACAATTCTACTGAAAAATAGAGGTAACCAGGGATGAAAACTGTTAACATCAACAGATTAGGCTTAGAATCCTCTTGGAGAGACAACAGCAATACCAACACTTACAACAAATAAAACCAAGGGGAAACAACGTTTGGAGCTGTCGTCTTCCTTCTTTTAAGCTCACTCTCCTCTATTTGGATTAATGAAAGGTTTGACCCCCAGAAGTAAAAGGATTTTGTTTTATCTAACTTATGGCAAAGAGAGAATGAGGGATAGCCTTCTGAGAAGACAGACACGTTCTAGTTCCCTTTGGTACCCTTTGACCTTGTGTAGCCAGAGGAGACAATGACAAGCCCACAGCAAGACTTGCAGGCAGCTGTGATCATAACAGAGAGCATGTCAGGATTCTTGACTACACACACACATGGGCCCATGACTCACAGATTCCTTTTCTCTAATTAAACAACTGCCCTAAAAATTTTAGTACGTAGTCTCATTAAAAACCTGACACACGGGCGGTGGTGGCGCATACCTTTAATCCCAGCACTCGGGAGGCAGAGGCAGGCAGATCTCTGTGAGTTTGAGACCAGGCTGGACCGACAGCCTCCAAAACAATACAGAGAAACCCTGTCTCGAAAAACCAAAAAAAAAAAAAAAAAACCAAAAAACAAAAACAAAAACAAAAAAAAAACAAAACCTGACACAGAAGTCAGCAAAGGAAAAACATCACAAAGTATGGTAAAAATTGCTGCTGCTCTAAAAGCATTCCTGACCACTGTACATACACTGTTTATAATATTGCTAAGTATAGGCCAGGCGTTGGTGGCGCACACCTTTAATCCCAGCACTCGGGAGGCAGAGGCAGGTGGATCTCTGTGAGTTCGAGACCAGCCTGGTCTACCAATCGAGTTCCAGGACAGGCTCCAAAACAATACAGAGAAACCCTGTCTCAAAAAACAAAAAAAACAAAACAAAACAAAAAATTTGCTAAGTATAAAATTTACTGTCTTGATGGAAAGGCAAAAATAATTAGCATATAACACAGTAAAAATGTTTGTGCAGCACAAGAATACTGCAGTAAAATTTTAAAATCTTAGATTTAGAAAAACAAAATCCTTAAGATTTTAGCTACTATGGCCTTTGTTGAGTCTAAAATGTTTATATGTGCAATGTGAGCTTTACTTTCTGTACATATTTAAAAGTTATAAAAAAGTCATTTATTATTCAAAATAGTCATGTTTTAACTAAAGGGCTGAACTAACTGCATTTAATGAATTCATAAAAATGTAAGCAAGCCGGGCGGTGGTGGCGCACGCCTTTAATCCCAGCACTAGGGAGGCAGAGGAAGGCGTATCTCTGTGAGTTCGAGGCTAGGCTGGACCGACAGCCTCCAAAATAATACAGAGAAACTCTGTCTCGTTAAACCAAAAAAAAAAAAAAGCAAAACCAGGCAAGGTAGAGCATACCTATAACCCCAACATTTGAGGTCTACAAGGAGGATCCTAAATTCATGGCCAATTCAGCTTAGATTTTATAGTAAAACTGTCTCAAAAACCAAACAACAAAAAAGGTAAAAGGAAAAAGTTTATTCAAAGTTGCTCAGTAACATTATTAGCCCATCTGAAATACATTGTACATTGAGATTAGATTAAAAGTAATCTATATACTGCCCAAGCTAATGTTAACTATGTGGAATTATATCATCTTTCAAAAGTTATCCTTACTAGCATCTCTATTAAAAATCTTAGAAAATAGGAAGCAGGATTAATGATTATATTAATTATTAATATATTAATAGTATATTAATGTATCACTGGGGGATTTCATTTCATAGACATTTGTACAAAGAAGGGAACTTTTGTTATTAACCTGTAATGTATTTTTCTCAATTCTTTTCTTTCTTTTTTTTTTTTCAAGACAGGGTTTCTGTGTGTAGCTTTGGCTGTCTTGGCACTCGCTCTGTAGACCAGGCTGGCCTCAAACTCACAGAGATCCGCCTGCCTCAGCCTCCCAAGTGCTGGGATTAAAGGCAGGCAAGTGCCACCAACGCCTGACCTCAATTCTTTATATATGCCTGTCTGTCTGTCTGTGTTTCTGAGTGTATGTCTGTGCACTGCATAAAGCAGGAGCCTGTGGTTATTTTAGACAATTATGAGCTGAGATGTGTGCTGGGAACCAAACCCAGGTCTTCTACTTAGCCCTTAACTGCTAGCCTTAGCCAGCTCTCTCCAGCCCCCAACAACCTACAACGCTGATAAAAGATTGAAAACCAACCTGGCTATCTCTTCTCGATGGGCAGTCCAATCTCGGATATAGTCTTCCTGTTCTTTAATTCGGTGCTTGAATGAAGAACTAGCAGGCATTGCTGATCCAGTGCTCTGCATGCGAGTGGTTTTCAGGGCTGGAGAAGTACGTAGACGAGTATGTTTAGGGGAATTACGGTTTGATCCAAATTCATCTTCTGAGGTGGAAGCATAATCAGTAGGAAAGCGCCTCCATCTTGAATTTACTAAATTAGTTTAATTATTAAAAAAAGAATTATTATGTTATCATTTTAAAAAGATAAAATAAAAATCATGATTTCAAAATTACCATGAGAGCTCACACACAGCACAAGTTTCAGTAACTGACATATACACACCTCACAAAAAAACTGTAGTTTACTACTCCTTAAGATAGAAACATATTTTGGTAAATTAAAAACAATGAATAATTAAAAACAACTGAAAGACTTTTTTTTAATAGTGTAGTGAATAAACATTCAGATGAAAAAGTTCACTAATGATAAACAACTAAGCAAGCTCTAGTTATAAATGCTTAACGTGGGTGTTTCAGTTGCAAATATTTCTTGAGTAGAGATATGGATGCTTTTTAAATGACAGCAACAACACTAACATGACGAAAATAAAAAGGGAGAAAAGACTTCCTCATGCCACATGAACTTTTGACACGGAGACGATGAAACCCTCTTTTCCCAACACACAAATGTGCATAATTCCCGTTACAGAAATTATGCCTTTATGGCAGAAAAAAAAACATTACCTCTGTCATTCAACATCCTGTTACGCTATGGTTGGAAAAAATCTTTTTACATGGTAAAAAACACAACAAAGCATCTTCAACACAACTCTTTGCTGCTTTAACACTGAAAACATACGGTCAAAATAGACAATGGTGTAAAACCTACAAAGCGTAAAACTACAAAAGTTACTCTCACAACCACTGACATTTAAGGCACAAGAGGTCATTCAGATAGTAACATTAAAGAAAGTGGCAATTATTTTCTCCTTTATAGTTAGTAAAGACATTTAAAAATGTTATTGCTGACACACTGAAATTAATGTTGACATTTGTAAAGTATAAACAAGTGAAGAAAAGAGAAATGCCTAATTCATGGTAAACTTCACAAGAACAGGAAATGTTTATTTAACAACTAATATATACCTAGCACTTGGGTCAAGTATCTGGCTAGCAAGTGCTAAGAATAGTTTTGAATAATGAATGGATTCCTGGATAGACATCATTTGCATTTATAAAATCCAGAATCATGGGATGCCTTTGGTATGTATTCAAAGAGACAAATATATTTAGCAACTGCTGCAATTCCCAAATGTCACTGATACTTTATGACTTTTCTTTCTCTTCAATCCTGAACTTGACCTACTGTACATATTATTGGTCAAGAGAAGCCCAGGATTTCCTCATCTTCCACTAGGATTTTGTACTTTTCTGATACCTCTTCCCAAAACTGTATTTTCCTTATGTGGGCTGGCTCTTAAATAAAACTGCCATCACCGCTACTAGAGATGACTTAAAGCAGAGAAATCTAGAGGAAGATATGTATTAAGTCAGAGCCAGCTCATCTGTTCTCACTAATGCTGTTTGCAGCTTCTCGGTTAGGGTATGGACTGATGGGTGCAGGAGAATAAGCAGATGTAGAAAAAGTTCATGGCTCACCATAAAAAGTATACATAGATAATTGTTTGTTTTTTTCCTGAAGGGGGGGTGTAATTGTTCATTTCACAGGATTTTGAAATCACTATGAAAACAAACACAACTCCGGGGTGTCCATGAGCAGGATCCTTAAAGGTTTAACTGAGCATGGAAGACCGACTCAAAATCCATGCCCATTTGAGAGAAAAAAGGGGAGAAAGTAGAATGCCAGGGAAAACTGAGTATAAAAGGTTTTCTGTCTTTTAGCTATTCAGATTGAATGAAAAAATACTTTTATTCTTTTGAATTTTCTGTTTACAGAAATACATTTAATTTACATAATTAGTTTCATTTGACAGAGTGATCTTACTAAGGCACTTTATAGATCACTAAATTGAATATACAGGGAATGTTTGAAATACCAATTTCTAGTTTGTTGGTTGGTGAAGCACTAGTTATACATATTAAAATGAGAGCAAGTTTCTTTTTTTTTTTCTTTTTGGTTTTTCGAGACAGGGTTTCTCTGTATTGTTTTGGAGCCTGTCCTGGAACTCGCTTGGTAGACCAGGCTTGGTCTTGAACTCACAGAGATCCACTTGCCTCTGCCTCCCAAGTGCTGGGATTAAAGGCGTGGGCCACCACTGCCCAGCAAGAGAGCAAGTTTCAAGATCACTTGAAAACTTGTAAGTCACAAGAAACTGATTTATTTATAACATTATTAAATTTATTTTAACATAGAAAACAGAATTATATGTCTTGAAAGTGCGTATCATATATGTATTTATATATTCCTTTGAGAAATGAATACATTTGTTCAGCTTTAATTTGACAATAAATGATATACTGTTTATACTACCAAAAAACTATTTTAGTTATAAAATGTACAACATTCTTTTCTTGCTGAAGGTGTAAACTATGTTCACTACAAAAATATTAATCATGTCTAGAATAAAAAAGGAATTATTAGTACATAGCTGTGAATGCTTCTTTTTAATGTACCTAAGCTATATTAGTCTTAAAATACAATTATAGATTTTAAAAAAGGTTAGAAAACACTTTATTTTTTTTATATACCAGAGTATTTTAGAGGGGAGTTAAAGCACAAACAAGTTTTGTTGACTATATTTATAAGCATTGAATGGTAAGATTATTTGGAGAGAAAAACAATTCCCTCAGAATACTTTGTATTTTCATTCTTCACTTGAGGGAAGATTTAACAAAAGCCATGTAAGTCTGTTTAGTTTCCACTATTTTAATTTTGAGATTTAGAATGGAAGACACTTAGAAAAAATTTAAAATATCAATAAATTTTTAACCTATGCACTAAAAATAATAAACACCAGATAGTTTATTACACTGGCAGTGCTGCTAGTCATAGCATTATATAGCTTTTAGAGACTGGGTCCTGCTAGATAGTGCAAATCTGTAACACATTAAGTAGCCAAGGCTGGCCTACAGTTTACTGAAGTCCTGAGATTGTGGGTGTTAACCACTGCAGCTGGTCAACAGCTTTATTTTGATAACTTAGAATCCTTAATTTTAAATACCAAAATCTTGACCAAAATAAACCTGGGTATTTCCTTTGTCACCAAAAGAATATGGGAGAAAGGCAAGTCATTAAGCCCTTGGAAGCAAATACCAGAGATGCATAAAAGAATTGCTATCAATGTTGCTATACATTTCAAGTCATCAATGCTTACCATATTAAGTGAAAGAAAACCCTGCTAATGACTTAGTCCAAAACACTGAATCAAAATAATTTTTACATTTGTCAATATGGACAGATTCACAGGTGGTAGATAACTTCAAGGTCTTTAAAGTTTATATGGAGAACAGAACATTGATCAGTATGATTCCATGTTCTTTTAAGCCTTATTTCCTTCTCCTTTCCCACTCAACATAATATAATATCTTAAATAGAAATGTTATAGCATCAAAGACATTTAATTGTTAAAAGCAAACATAAATCTTTTAGTAATAATTCCATACAACAACTATTTAGTATATTCTTCACTGACATGGATTGCATAATATTATAGGATATCAATGATTTACTGAACAACACCCAAACTATTATATTTCATATTCACCTTATACATGCTTCTAGTAATAAGACACTAGCTGTCTTCTGGAAGCTAGCATATAGTTCCATTTCTTAACAGTAGAGTAGCAACATCCAGTTATAAAGGTCCTGGATTCTCATTCTGCCCTGATATCTGACCAGGGCAGGTTATTTCATGTCCTGGCCCAAGTTCCCTAGCTAGCTCTTAAATTCCATGACTGTAGATATGTAATAGCTGACTACTAAGTATAAAGAATGAAAGTAACAATTTTTCCTTGGGAATTTCATTAAAGAATTCCAAGACTTTTTATTTGTTTTAGATAACAAAAAGTAAGTATCAAGATCTGTATTCAAAGTAGAAATCAAAATTAGTCTATATATGATATCTTATGCTTGTTTCTCAGACTTGCCAAGTGGCCCTATTTCGACCACCTAAACAAGCCCTCATGCTAAAGAATAAGGCCAGATGAGCTGGTCACTCAGCAGACAAGAAGTCACTCCGTGCTCATGCTAATGTGTTAATGTGTTTAAATGGAGGTGAGGTGATAAAACAAGCAGTGGTTTCAGAGGAAATCAGGGTACACACCGGAGTGCAGCGCAAAGGGAATGAACTGAGAAGGAAGGACAAGAAACAAATGAGTAACAAAACCAGCAATCAATTCATTAGTAATCAGTCAAAGACTGACATGTGGAAACGGACCAGAATAACAAAGACAATGCCATTCATCCTCCAGGAAGTACGGCTATCTATTCTCTAATTCTGGTCTACATCTAGTCCTACCATAGTCTATGACTGTCCTTACCAAAGCCACTGACCAATGCAGATGGAAAGACAATGGAATGGATGAAAGCAGCAGTGAAAAGGAGGAAGGAAAGTGGAAACCAAAACACTGTTTACAAAGTACTTCTGGTTTTCAGTCATGGAGGATGTATTATATATCAAGCAAAAATAAAAGGAAGATTTTATACCAACGTTCCTCCACTTTAACTCAAGACTTAGGCTCACTTAGTTTGCTGGGAAAGAATCATAAACCTTCAAGGCTTCAAACAGCTGGCCTACCCTTCTTGGCCTTTTCACACCCACATATGCAGCTAATTGTGAGGTAATAAGAACATGCTTATTACATGAGGATACACACAAACAGCTAGTTGCTTCACTGCTGTGGTCACATACTCTCATTGGCTTCAGCTTAAATACAGACAAATTAGCAAACAGCACTTCAATACTGGGAGACTGTAAATAGTGATTCAAATTATATTCACTTAGGTAATTTCTACAGTTAAATGCTACAACAGGACTTTGTGAGATAATGCTCACAACTAATAAACTTTCCAATTTAGTTCAACCTACATATGCTTAGTAATCACCCCATAAATCCAGTTTCTTCCAGTGAAATTAGAGTTAATTTTCAAGAGCTCCAACTCCAAATGTGTAAGTATGTGAAACATATTTTTTTAAATCAGCTATTTCCAAAAAGACTAAAAAAGGTATATTATTTCTCTATGGGTTCATGAGAAATATCTGATTTTAGAAACATAAATAATATTTTTAGAATAGACACTAATTCCTAATATAATTCTGACAAATAAATCCAATTATTATCAAATAAAAAACTAAAACTCTTAAATCTGTTCAGTTAATTTCTTATTTTGAAATCACTACTATGTCTAAGACATTGGAAGCACAATGACTTCTAAATTTTACATTTTAATGGAGGAGGGGACATTAACCCTCTAATTTTAACCTTACTTTTGAATTATTTTGCTAAGACAGCTGAAAATTTCTTAATAAAGAACCCACACAGAGAACATGCTAATGTTATCAGAAATCTGGATCCAATTACCTGAAGGAGAGCCATGAGTGGAGGTCATGCTTTTGACCTTGGAGTCTGATAGCCGGGAGATACTGTTAGCTCTAGTTCTAGGAGAAAACTTATCGGATGGCACTAATCTGGCTCCACTCCTAATGATGGCTTCTGCAGTGCGTGAAGAGGCACTACTTCTTGATATTGTTGCTTCAGAATCACTACGGGCAGACAATGAGCCAAGTCTTGTTCTTCGAGGCTGAGCCAATAAATCAATCCGAGAGATTGTTCGCCTTCCTGTGGGTGGTTTTGATGTGGAACTTGTGGTGGATACTTCAGAGGCAACAGATGCTTTGTCAGCATCAGCAAGTTCACTGTCGGAAGCTTCACCCAGGCGGGCTCGGCGCAGGAGGGAAGTCCTGGTGGGCCGTGGCCTTGGGAGAGTGGTTGATTTACTTGAACCAGAGGCAACGGGAGAAGTCTTAGACTTTGTTCCTTTGCCTCCTTCCAGTTTGGAATGTATGTTGTGCTCATCAGCTGAGGTAAGTGGAGTCCTTCCATGGGATTTACAGGAGTATGTCTCCTGGTCAGATGACATAATGTCAGAGATAGCAGAATGAGGTACACTAGAGGTCTGGTCATCATCTGTTAAGTCTATGGAAGGCTGCCGGATTCTTCCACTGGACTGTACAAATTTTCGACCATCTGCTCTTGCACCTATTTCTGTAGAGCGACTTTTTGCTTTCTTTTCAATTTTCTCCCTAGTGCCTGACTTTGTAGCATCTTTGGAAGGGGAACTCGTGGAACACCTGTCTTTATAGAGACTAGTGAAACTCTTCCGCTTTTGGGTGGACTTTCTTTCTGTCTCTCCAGTAACCAGACTAATTGTACTGGCTGTGTCTACATCAGATTCCGGTGAAATAGAATTGTCTCTATTGTAACTGGGAGTATCTGGACCTTCATCAGTTTTATTATTATCTTCACGCAGTTTAGCTTCCAGAAAAGCCATCACTGCTTCTGTGTCTTTTAGAATCAAGGTTGTGTCCATGCTAGAATCAGTATCCACAGAGTCGCTCCTTTCTCGAAGTCTACTTGCAGATGTCAATGCTAAGGAAGTGGGAGCAGATGAAGTCTGCTTATTAATATGAGGAATAAGTTCTATGGGTACATTTGAGCTGGGTTTTTCTATTGTGAAACTCCCTTGCCGCACTAACGGCTTGGAGGACTCTTTCTTGTCTCCTTTTGAAGTCTGGCTTTTTGGAATTTCCTCAGCTTTTCTTCTCTTGCTTTCATTTTGTATTGTTCTTTCTCCTTTGCTTGTAGAATGTCCTGACAAGTTTTCTAAAAGTTGGGACTCTTGCTTAGAAGATTCCTCCCTATATTTATCTATGTGGCCTGAAGCACTTTTTGAAGACAACTTAGTAGGGGTCCACTGGGCCTGCTCCTTCTGTTCCTGTTGTTGGATTTTAGCTAATGTTTGTTTTACCAAAGACGTTTCTTTATCAGTTTCACTTTTCTCTTTACTAGAAGAGCTACCTGCGAGAGGGAGGGCTTTATGGTCTCCACCCGTTTTAGGAATCTCACCATTGACTGCCCTCTTCACTTGACTCAGGCTTCTGTCTGCAGCATGCTTCTCGTTCTGGTGGACATGGGCAGCTGCTTCCTTTTCCTGCAGTTCCGTGTCTTGCTTCTCTCCTATCTCTGACCTCTGGGGTACGACCTTTGCTCTGGAGTTCTCAAGAGGCTTGTCTTCATTTGGGAGCTGGGGAAGAGTTCGCCTCTTTCTCTCTCCCTGACTAGCCAAGGAAGCTGCAGAGCCACTACTTCTCAGTGAAACACCAACTTCACCAGTATCCGTCTCTATAAAATGAAAACACCAAAGCAGGAATTCATTAGAACAAAAGGACACAAATAAAATGAATGTCAAATTATTCAGGATTTTGAGATATAAGTTTAAAAATAACCTCAGTATAAAATGAATGCCATCACTGCGGGGAATTTGTACTTCCTAAGAGGGGCGAGAGGGGAGCCTTACCTCTTAGCAAGGCCTTAAAAGAAATTTGTATCAATAGAAAAACATGAAAATAGTAAAAAAGTGGCAGGTTATTCAATAATTTTATATAGCAAGGGACTTTTAAACTAATTTTCTGGTATATTAAGGCAGTTTATAAAAGTAAATGACTACTTTCTTTTTTTCAACTTAGCAGATCCCAATGCAAAAGTAAATACTTTGAAGAGACAATACAGACAAAACAAATTTGGTCACATTAAAAAAGTTTTTTGAGGGAGTCTATAAGTGTAAAAGTAAGTGTAAAAAGTATGAATAGACAATTTAGAATCCTCTATATTTATGGGTACAAGGTGACATTATTACTTATGAATATAATGAAAAATAATTAAATCAGTTTTTTGACAACTTAATTCATAATATACATTCATACATATGTAGCTCATTTACAAATTATCACCTTATCTTTAGTTTATGATCACACTGTAGTGATAGCTGCATATTTTCAAATAGACTGTCATATCAAGAAGTAATTTTTTAACTGAAAAGCAAAACTATGAAGCTTTAAAATTATACTTGAATAACAAAAATTTACAGTAAAAAAATCAGACTGTCTGAAAATGAACTTCTAAATCTTGGTATCCTTTTGTCTTTGGAAGGTTCAGTTTGTGAAGTACACAAAAGTTTTTAAGGGAAAAAGAACTTGGGGGCAGGTGGTATAACAGCATCCTGTATAACATATACAATGAGCTCCTCAGGTACTCCCAATATTGCAGAAAAAGAAAGGCTTTATTATTTAGATACTTTCTACTGTTTTAATTCCCTAAAACACAAAAATGTTAATTAAAACCTAGCATTTTACTTTAATTCAATACACTGTTCCAACATGAGAGCTTAACTTACTCCTTACTACATTTTTTAGCTTGTTTCTTTTAAAAGCACACATGCTATATTATAAAAAAAGACAGAAAAGGTAAAAACTGGAGGAGGATGAGAAAAAATAAGTTACCATTTTCTATAGTTGCAGACAATTCCATTAACCTTTCTTCTGGATCATGCCTTGTATGATTAGCAGCCAAACTAGCCCACTGTGAAACCCAACGTTTGCTTCCAGATGAAGGTATTCCTTCCTAAAGGAGGAAAAGAGGATGAGGCAATGCAGCAGTGCTGCCAATGCTGACTCTCATGAAAGAGAACTTCATGCAGTCACATCATGTGACATAGAAGCCTTTCTGAAGCTCAGCTTGTTATGCTTCATTAAATTTCTTCACGTCTAAGAAGAAGATTCTCTAGCTGCCCCTTTCAACCACATTTTACCACCACTGAACTTAGTGTATCATTTCCTGTGCTACTTATATAACAACAGCATCAGGTCAACCCTGGAAGTTTCCAGTAGTAATTACTACATGTCACAGCTCTGCAGCTAACCTACTGGTGTCACTCTGACTCCATTGAAAGGAACAGAGAGTCTATAAAGAGAGACTAAAGTAACCTGCTAGTCCGCTACTCTCTAGGAAATCAGACTGACTCTGGGTCTCAGGAACTATGCTAGGTAATGTTTAACAGATTTCAAGAACCCAAAGCCTCAGATTTTTATATTTAAGCTGAAAATAACTAGTTCTATGAATTTTTCTATATCCCATCTGAACACAGACCCTGCTTTTAAGACAAATGTTTTCTGAACCCTTCTAATGAAGTATATAGGTCCCTTAGCTCATGAACATACCCTAGCATTTCTTAAGCCAAGGGTAATATAAAAATTATATCTCTTAAGCCATAATCAGAAGTAAGAGCAGTCTTGGAAACCCAGTGAAGTTAAGAAAACTGTGGGTGGTGGTGGTGGTGGTGGTGCTGGGAGTACACAGTTCTGTGGTAGAGCACCTGCTCAGCACACACAAGGCCAGGTTCAATCCCTAGTAGAACAAACAATAAAGACACCTCTCACCCAAAACTTAACTCAGGCATTCATACCAAAACTGATGCCAAGTAGGAAATGGAAAACTACAACACAAAATTTTGAACTATTTAAAATATACCTTATTTAAAAAAAAAAACCCAAGATACTGTGTTAATTATGAACAGGCTAAGGTTAGACACTGATGAAGTAATGATTTCATGTAGATAATACACTTTGTGGTTTCATGAACAGATTAAAATAGTCAAGCATAGAGATTGACGTATTTAGATATGAGGTCACCAAAGCTATCTGACTTCTTGAACTCCCTTCCAAGGTCTTGCAGTACCTGCCCACAACTGTGAGCACTACAGGCAGTGCGGATCATCCTGCACTATGCTGAGAAAATCCACAACAGGGCATACTGATGATATACTGTTCTTTGTTCTTGCTGGCCTGTTAGGCCTGCAAAGGTGGCAACTTATTGGGGCTATATGAATTTTACTTGGCATGGATAGATGAAGAGAAGAGAGGGAATCTAAAGTAATTTACAAAAACCTTTCCCTGGATTTACCAAAATATCAACACACTGCCTGATATTACTATTAATATTGCCTGTTTTCAGGGAGTAAATTAAACAGAAACTAGAAAATTGTCTGAAGGGGAAATAAAGAACACTAAAAAGCTGTAATTACTTTGACAATTTTCAGAAAATGGCAAACCACAGAGTAATAGTTTAACACTATTCAATGACATTCATATTTGTAGGAATAGAAACAAAATAGCAATGTTACATAATGGTTTTTTATGCATATCTTATATTTATTCACTTACTATAACTCTTTTCCTTAGAGGAAAATAATGTAATGAGTAAGATAATGAATTAAGAAAGCTAGGTCAGGTTGGGGAGAAGGCTCAGTGATTATGAGCACTTGCTGTACAAGTCTGACAGCTGGAGTTCAAATTCCCAGCACCCACATAAAAAGCTGGACATGTCTGTGTGTACCTGTGAAAGTCGCTGTCCTAAAGGAAAAGGCGGAGAGTTAACAGAGGAAGACATTTGTGTGCTTGTTTGACTTCCATATGCATGTGTAACAAACAAACATACATACATACATACATACATGCACTGCATTTGCCTCATTAGTAAAAGAGTTTGCGGGGTTCCTTCCATTGCAAGCTGCTGCCTATTGTCTGAACAAATAGACTTCCAACTTATACAAATATTTCATGTTTTTTTGATACATAAGATGGAGTGGAATTTTGATATCATAGCTATGCCAATCAAGCCATCTAAGTTCTAATCCTCAATACATCCTGGCTTGTACCACACTAATGCTTACTGCAGTGTGTATAAGTTGCACCTTTCACATGTTTTCTGCTGACTCAACTTTCTAATTCCAAACACATACCTTCTAGAAAGCATAGGCAGTGTATATTTCTTGTTTTGTCACATGTGCTACTTACAAAAAGGAACAAGTAGTGTATTACTTGTTTGCCGAATTGTAATTATTTTCCTCACTAACTATGAAAGAACAACGAAAATTAAGAACTAAACTAAAACTGTTTTAGGTTTTCATTCAAAATAAAAATTGGTCAAAATGTAGTTTTTGAAGCATTTCACAAGAGAATATATGATACATAGTTAAAATAACTTCCAAACGAAGAAAACTTACATTTTGTGCACATAAAAAGAACTGCATACCTCTGAGTTATGAAACCCAGGTGTACTGAATGGCTTTCTTTCTTCCATTACTGCTGCAGCAGACTTGAGAGTCCCATCTTGTATCAGACCTTTATGCTTTTCGTTGATAACAGGCCTATTATAACCCTGATTGTCATCTACTCCAAATACCTAGGAGGAAAAATTTGTTTCATGATGAAAATGTAAGTGCGGGCACCAGATTAATATATGACTGTCATCAACAGCATCAGAAGCAAATAAAAATATCCTAAATTAACCTCACCTAGCAATTTCAGAAACAGGGAACCATATTTAATGACAAGATGACTCCCCATCTGGACTGGACAGGAAGCCAACAGTTGCAGATGTGGCTATCCCTTTTAATAGCTAGCAAATTATTCTGGTTGATCAAATGAAACATTCAGAATACTACATTTGATTTGTTGAATGACTTGATGCTCAACATTACAATCATGAGAAGAGTCAAGAAAATACTTCAGCATATTTTCAGCTTGCTTCTTGTTCCTATTTCAGAGAAGCATGTTAAAAAATATATGCCTCTTTTTTATTAAAAGAAGTTTCGTTTATATATATCTTATATTTATACTTATAATTTCTTAGGGTACCCTTAAACAAGATTTTATTGAATGAATTTTACAAAAGTACAGCAATTTGTCTGAAATGTAGGTTCTTGGCCTATTCACATAGATCAACTTTATCAATAAGTAAATGACTATCAATGGTCAACACTTTAAAAAGCTCTCAACACAGAGATCAACAGTCATGTGATTGTATTTTCCTAACAGGCAAGATTCCAGTATTAATCATTTTCTGGCACATAAAGGAACCTGGATGTAATACCTTGCAAACGAACTGCAAAAATGTTATAGTGAATACATTTAATATTTTGTTTTACTATTCAATTTTGAACTTGGTTCAAATGAATGGATGAATGTTCCCCAGACTTACTCATTACACTTAACTGTATGGGGCATTGATCATTACAATCAGAAAAATATGCCCTCAAACAAGCAATGTGTGGAAATGACCCTCATAACCCTTGCTTCCTACAAGGGAAAACCATTTTCAGTGGTGCCATCTGTTTTCAGGTTGATGCATGACCTTCTCATCTACAAATGTGTTGGGTAGTATTCATAGCTATAATGGGACATATGTAGCCCATAGATATTAGGTTGGAAATGCTTGCTGTATCAACACACAGAAAAAGAAATTGATGGTCTTATAATAATCTGATAATCTGATAGATTCTGAAATGTGCATTTAGCAAAGCAGAGACTGTAATTGTAAACGGCACACTTGTTGAGGGTATAGGTAACTATTGTAGAAAGTACAAAAGAAAACGGGCAACCAAGATGAGTCAAGCAGCTTTCCATCACCAAACCGGAAGTGGAAAAGAGAGCGACTGTGGCTCTGCTGCAGTTGTGGGCCTGGCTATCGGCTTAGTTCATCGCCCTGTCTCTAGTCATGCCCAAAGTGGGTGTGGTTAGCATTGCCTTATCACTACTACATCCATTTGGGCCTCTAGAGTGCCACGTGGCTAAAATAGTGAAGCAAAGAGGGCGTACCTGTGTCTTGTGACTTTACATTGATTTGTAAGGAAATCAACATTAGAGTGGAAGTGGCTTGTGGGTCTTTTACAAAATAGTTTACTGCAAATTTACTGGTTTGTTTTACTTTTGTATTACCAGAAAAAAAAAAAAAACCTCGTTTGGTAGTAAAAAAGTAATCATATATGAGTCCTTACATTTTGCATCATTGTTGCATGTCACTTTATAGTTTATGATTTGGTGATAATTAATTGCATCAGACATACATTACAATTATTAAAATACAATCTTAATCACCAGTGGTTTCCAATAAAAAAATATGGTAAACCACTTCAAAATACTTTTAATAAAAATGGCTTGGATATTGCATTGTTAATAGACTGGTATTTTGAAAAGGCTAACAATTATACCGAGGACTGTGCTCTAATGGGAGTTGAAGGCAATAGACAGTACTCCAGAGATTTTCTACACATTCCCTTTAAAGTATCAGAGACATACCTACTCATATATCTGTTAAAGAATGGCCAATTTCTTTCCATATAGATGGCATGGCAGGAAAACTTCCAGTGTTGCAAAAATGCTTTGAGATTTCACACTTATGATTTAGTTTGATTGTTTTGTTAATTATTGAGGTAGTCTCAGAGTGTAGTCCAGACTGACTTAAATCTAAACACATTCCTCTTGTCTGAGCTACTCAAGTGTTATAAATTACAAGCAAGAATAAGCCACTATGGTCGGCTTTTAAAACATATTGAAAAACATTAATAAAGTAGTAATGGCTAGTCCAGCTCAAACAATATGCATTCATTTCTGTGTGTAGGCACACAGACCTTCGATTGTGATATTTTGCACATGGAAACACAGCGCACAGTTAGTTACAATATCTATATACTCCAAGACATGCATGTTTTTGTATTTTTAAAGTACACACATACAGACATACAATCTAATAATGGTCTAGAACTTGAGAGTACTCAAAATCAAGTCAAAATTTATAAGATTTTCCATCTTTCATTCTAGAGTCTGTCATTAGGAGATTTCATCCAGTATACGTATCATTATTTGACCTACCAACTGTATAGAATGTGGCTTACCTGTCATCAAGGACAGTTCAAGATACTTCAAATGTTATCCATAAACCCATTCTTTTCTCCCTATCCTACTCTGACTTGTTGTCAACCACAATTTCAGTCTTGTTCATAACAAAATCTGGCTCTCTCCCCTAGCCAGGAGTTCTTTATATTGGATGCCCACCGGGGAGAAAGACAAATACCTGTCTAATCTGTACTTTCTTTAATGGAATTTTCACAGAAGCTTGCTCTTACACTTCTAAATCTCTCAGGGCAGGTGCAAAAGGAGTTCTTTGGGATTACTAAGATGACTCATGTTATCTTAGAGGAGAAGAATGACATTCACATGCTACCCACTACTGTCTCCATCATCCAGGTAGATATTCTACCTGGGACACCTGTGATAGATCCCTCCAACATATTCTAGTGTTAGGGAAAGAGAATAGAAGGAACCTTTTGCTCCACACTATTACATGTTTCATTAAACATATTCTCAATCTTTAGCTCAGAATATGGACATATCATATTTATTATAGAATTTCCCACCTAGAGTTCAGGGGCTACTCTCAGCGATTAAAACAACTGGCTACTGAGGCATGGTACTTACTGAATGTAGGCAATTAAGGTAGGCACTACAGGAAATTTAAAAATCTGTATGACTTAGTCCTACCAACATCTAATAAACACACACACACAAGCCTGAAAGAACCATACAGAAGCACTCTATTATTAAACTAAGCTTCTGTAAATACCAGACTTTTAGATTTCTGTTTCAACTTTAGATTAACATTAAAAAGAAAAAAAACACCCTCCAGATAATAACAGACTATGTTGTATACACCACAAGCAAAGCCCTTGATTTTGGTTTTTCTATTACCAGGTTATTACTGTCATTATTAGTCTAAACTACAGAGCCCAAAGTTTCACACCTTTTTGATTCAAAATGGTAACAGTGGGGCTGAGGACTACCAGTGCTCCACTTAAAGAGCTGATATTTTTGGCTATTTTATGAATATTTATATTCCATCTATTAATATTAAACAGGTGTGTAGGTCAAAATTACACATTATATTATCAGATATGGGAGATTTGGTCTTTGTAACAGGAAACAGAGCCCAGTGTGAAAGAAGAAGGAGAGGGAAAAACTACGTCATAATTATAACACAAATGTAGACCAAATGAGAATTTCATTGCATAATACTGAATTTACTAAATTAAAACTAGGACTGTGGGTATAGATTAGTGCACATCTAACATGAATGAGACCCAGCATGTAAAAAGTCCCAATCAATTAAAATTTAGAATCCATCTTCTCATAGAAATGAGAAAGCTAATAGTAAACACCACACTTTTTGTAAGCTTACATTAATTAAAGGATGGTGAAGTACTTAAGATTTTAATCCTAACAAGATGTCAAAATAAAAATATTGCCAAGTTTCAGTCCAGAACATATCTTGCCCCAAGGAACAAGGTCCTGCTGGGTAAGACGAGTGGGGTCTATCATTGTAAGTTAAATCACTAGTACAAGGTCCCATACCTTACCAAAAAACATTCAAGAAACAATCCAAGTATATAGTGTCAAAGAACTCAAGATTATTTATGTAAGTTTTCTTTTTAAATTTATAGTATTTTCCCAGGAAAATATAGCTTAACTTTTAAAAAGAAAAATATCTTAAAATTCAATGGAATAAATATATTGTGATTATTTAACACTGTGATTCTGATATTTGTAACTAATTCTTCAAATGTAATATTTAGGCAAAACTGTTACAAGAGTTCAGAGTGGGATTAGGAAAGACCATTTACCATTTGCTGTAGCCTATACATACACTCTTCACGGCATCATTATTTATAGTCAAAGATGAACTCAAATTCAACATCTGCCAATAGATGAACAGACAAAGGGTTCTATCATAGTATTATTTATGACTTATCATAAAAAAGAATGAGTAGTGATGCATGTTAAAACATAGATGAACCTTGGAGACAATATTCAAAGTAAAAGTAGCCAGTCATTAAAGGCCACAGATAGAAGGACTATTTACATGAAATATCCAGACAAAGTAAATGCACATTGACAGAAAGCAGATAGGTAGTTCCAAGGGGTCCAAACAATGGGAAAAGACTATTTAAGTGCAATTTCTCTTTAGAGTGATGCATACATTCTGAAGTTATACAATACAATCATCACAAAACAGTATGAATTACCACAGCTTCCAGACTCTACACTGATGCTTTACTTCTGAGATCTGACTTTTAATTAATCATCATTCTGCCTCAGCTTACCAAGTCCTGGAATTATAGGTGCAGATTATAACACCTAACTGAACTGTACATTCTCAATGACTAAAGTATCCCAACTTTATGTTATGTGAAATTTACTTCAATTTTAAAATAAGATACTACATAACTCTTCTTTCTCACGGCTGACCCAGGCTAGGTTGGTCCCCTGCACTGTAACTTCCACTTTGGCTTCACATTTAACCCTTTTAGTGTTGAAAGAAATTTCTAAGACTTGCCAGTACTTTGGGTATAGAGTCATATATGGAAATGAATAATATAAAAACTAATATTCAGAGATCATTTTTATGATAGACATCATGATAAGCACACTATGTTTTAGAATTTCTGCTAAACTTAAAAAATTCTTAAGCTTAAAGAGGTTGATTTATACCAAGAAATGGTACATGTAAAGTTTATACACTTAATTCCAGATGCCTGCAAATAGCCATGTTCTTAACCTCTGCAATATATATAACCATAAAATAATATTTTAATGGAAAAATATTAATCACCATCAAGCAAAAGACCTATGGCTTTTGAAAACCTATACCTCTTTTTTTTTAAACAACAGTAAAGTACTGCTTACATATAACATGTATTTCTAAGACTAAAAAAGTTTGGCATTATGCCACTCTAAGAGTAAAATAATTAGACTCCTCAATAAACTTATGTCTGCAAATGTATATAGTGAATGCATCACAAATACTACAGAACACAGACTAAAATAGAATACACTTAGACTTAAAAGTGAACATAATCCTACTATTTTTTTTCCTGCATCCCAGAGGGTTAGATCTTGCCCACTCTGACAAGCCATTCTAAAAACTCATCACCTAGACTAGCATATTCCAAATGTTAATGTGCACATGAACTACATGGTCATCTTATTTTTAATCACAGATTCAATTCAATATATCTGTACATGCCTCCTTAGTAATATCAATGCTATACACACATGAGTACATTTTGGGTAACAAGAATTTAAATGTGAGATTAATGTTTAGCCAAACTTAGGTTGCTATTATCAAGGAAGTAAAATAAATAGCTCATTCAATGGTTAACTATTCATGGTCACAACAACACTGCAAAGTACTTTTTAAATCATACAACAATCACCATGTAGCTAAACCAACAACATCAAAGAAGTATCTGAAATATAGACAATTATTAGAATTGGGTCTAAGCCTGACTAAAATGAACAAAATATATAAAAACTGATTTTGTTCTGAGTTCATCAAAGATGGCAGTAAAGAGAAACAAAGAGAATCAAAGACAATCACAACATATGCTTTTTATCTGCTTCCAAAATGAAATTAGTAGGTAGAAGACATGTAAATATTTATATTCATTTAATAATTATAGCAATTTATTTCTTTGTTCAGTTTTGATATAAATAAATGCAAAATGACATTACCTTTAAATTCAATCAAACTTATATACCTTAAAAAGGCCCACATAGTTTAAATGTAGAGGATCTTACATATAAAACTCAGAAAATTTCAGAATATAAACAAAATGAAAGCAGAAAATATTTTGTTCTTGCTGTTAGTCTTCTAGGTCCCTAACAAAACCCTAAAGTTCCAAAAACACCAACTATATGAGAACGTTCCACATCAACTCTCCATTAAGGTCCAATGTCAAAAGCCCCACAAAACTAACATCATACTCAAATTTCAATTATTTACCTTGTCAATCATTTTTCTTGCTTCCACCTCCTCACTGTTGGGGTTCTCTAACTCAATGGTATAAGTACCCTTGTCACTTTGGTCATCATCATTATCCTTTTCTGAAGTAGCAGAAGTAGCTTGGTTTTTTAACATTTTATCCATCTCCTGGCTTGGTCTGTGCCCAAGACTCCCTGAACTTCTTAACAATGCAGTTTGTAGGAAGGGTATTGACACCGATGGCTCCTCTGATTTCTGTTTTAACAATTTCCCATGTGGAACACCATGCCCCCCTCTGTGATGCGTAGAGCTAGTCTGTAAAGACAAAGAAACCACTTTGGCATCTGCTGGTGGAGATTTTGCTTTTTCAAGTTTTGTATGTGGTGTTGAGAAAGTAGTTTCCTGACATGAGATTCCTGAACTTTGCGTAAAAGAATATGACCTTCTCTTTCTGGAACGATCTTCATCAAAGAATGCAATCATAAAAGCAGTTTGACTTACAACGGCCTGGTCTTGATGTTTTTCAGTAGACTGGGCCTTCTTTTTCTGTTCTGAGTGATGGCGTCGTAAATGTTCCTCAAGAGTTGCACGCTTGCTACAGCGCCTGTGTGCCCCAGCATTTTCTGAATCACTCTGAGTGCCATCATCATGTTTGTTCCCTGAACATAAGAGAGGAATGATAAAGTAGAAAAGAAAAAATTCCATGGAGAAAATCAGAAGCACGTACAAAAGCGCTATTTTCACCCCTTTCCCCTCCTAATACAAAGATGTATGTTGTTTTCTGTAACAGGCTCTGCATACTGTCCTCAAACACAAAGATTACAATTATATTTATTCAACCAACAATGAGGTCCTTTATAAACAATTGGATGAATTACTTTTCTCTTTTCTTTCTCTAAATTCTAACTTTAAAAAAGATTCATCAATGACTTAAAAAGCAATGTTCTATTATCTGTCAGACTTATGCTTATAATAGCAATACACATTAGCTCTGCCTCTGAATTGTAAACCTTTGTTAACAAAACAAGAAAAACCCACAAAAAAACTGACTCTTAAGAGTAACCAAGGCTTCAAGCCTACACAAAGAACTGCAGGCAACTAAGGAGTGCAGGGAATGGGAGAAATAGTCTTTCCCAAGAAGAACATATCAATTGGTTATCCAATACCAAGTGGTTAGCACTGCCTGAAAACACATCCAAGCAAGATTTTACAGACTGAGCAGGTTATGTTTATGTACTTAGGAATTATGGTTGTAACAATAATTAATGAAAAAGAGGGCAATAATATGGAAGAAACTGAAATAATAAGAGGCATTTGGAAGGGTCTGGAGGGAGGAAACGAAATGGGGAAATAAAGTCATCATAATCACAAAAAACAAAAGGAGTAATTTTTTAAAAGACTGGTGTAACTGCAACCACTTATTATTAAACAGAACATAAAAGTCATAAAATTGAACTATATCCAAATTGTGACATTCAATACTTTAAAAGTTCAGCATACCTTTCAATAAAAAGATTGAAATTTGTAGTTTCTATTTATGACATAGTTATACAAATGTTTTCTTAGCAGAGATTTCTAAACTCTACTGGCTTAAAAAGAGTTAAAAGATGCTGACTGAGAACCCTACTAAAGACAAAGTCTATGACATCCTTCTACCTACTAAACTACATGGTACAAATAAATATAGGCAGATGTCATGTCCAAAAATCACAGTCACATTAAAACATATGTGAACTCTGAAACACCTGTCTCCTAACAAAAGTTTTTCTGGATCAGAGAAAGAGCTACTCTAGGCATGATTCAGATGGAATCATCAATCAAGGATTAACTAAAATCCTTTCAAAGTTATAAAAGATCTAGTGCATTGGAATATACATCTGCAGATTCCAGTCATGCAGAAGTAATCTGATTATGAATATTCCTGAACATTCCCAGGCTGTTTAATGCAAACATCTGAAAATAATGTGTTAGCCTACAAGAAACCAATCAGCAAGTAAAGAGCTGATGTGTATGAAAGAATACGAGTTGTATGTCTAGGGGAAGGAGTTATAAAGTGCATAGGTTTGTTCCTAGTAAATTTGGAAGCTACCAACAGTGGTGATAACTTAATACAAGACAATTACCTGAAAAATGTAGCACATAAAAGGAACGAGGATAGACAAGGGGGTGGTAGAATAGAATGACATCTTGAAAAAGAGAAAGGGTGATAATAGGTAAAAATAATGGGGTTGGGCACATTCAAAGTGAGATAGTAATCTAAAAAACAAATGTGACAAATATAAAACTCTTCAAATTATTTACTACCCAAAATGTAATCTGAAAAGAAAAAAATTTAAGGGAAGAATCTCTGTCACTGATAATTCATCTAGGAATCACGGGTAGTATATGGAAAGCAGATACAAATATAATCACTATTTTAAATTCAATTTTTACTATAGCACTATTTAAAACATATTGGGTTGGATAAGCTGAATAGGAATTCAGTTTGCTAAGGTCCAAAAGAAGAAACTATAATATTTCCTATACAAGATGACCAAATAAACTTACAATTAACATTTGTAATGAAAATACCATTTTCATATATTTCCTGCTATTCATTTGTTGGAGATTAGTCATTTTCTTTCTTGCAAAATTATTATTCCTTCTAGTGCTTCAGTGTATTACACAAGGTGATACAGGTGAGGCATCAGGTCAGAGCTGCAATCTTTCTGATTCTACTCAGCAAAAAGGCCACCAGGAAATGCTCAACATGATTCTTAACTCATCTGTCCATCACTAATTATGCCTAAATCTGGAAGTTCATTTACTATCTCTCAGGTTAGTTTTGCTGTACTGTGGCTAAAAGAAGCTGCAACTCTCCTAAAGGGTGAAAGTGTATGGGCTTTGTGAACATTATTTTCCTCACTGTCCCAAAGCGCATGCACTTTACTCTTGTAGGAGCAAGGCATCTATCTGTCTGTCTGTCTGTCTGTCTGTCTGTCTGTCTATCTATCTATCCACCTATCTACCTACCTATCTATCCATCCATCCTATCTATCTTGTATCAGTTGTTTATCTGATTTTTAGTTACTAAAAAGCTAAAATTTTAAGAAATTGTTACTAACTACCGTCTTCCTTCATTTATTCACAATCTGAATATATCCCTTTCATAGCGTAAATAGTAGGAGACTTTCATCTATTCATAGCAGCTCTGATTTCTGAAGCAAGTCAAATATCATATGCGAGTAAGTATAAAGAAATAACATGGGTATATTTGAAATACAAAGCGAGTTATTGCTGTGAAAGGACTTTTTGAAGGGCTTTAAAAACAGAATGATGTTACATCTGAGAGTTCCAAGCAATGGTACCACACTGAGAGATGCCTACCTGTAGATCAAATTAAAAGTTGATAGTAATTAGATAAATTTTCTCAAAATTTTAAAATATATACTGAACTACTTTTCATTAGGCTCAAACAGTTCTTTGTGAAGAGCAGAGAATATACTAAACGATGGTTTAAAAAAATTGTTAATGCCGGTTGTTGGTGGTGCGCGCCTTTAAACCCAGCACTCAGGAAGTAGAGACAGGCAGATCTCTGCGAGTTCAAGGCCAGCCTGGTCTACAGAGCAAGTGTCAGGATAGGCTCCAAAGCTACACAGAGAAACCCTGTCTCAATAAACAACAAAAAAAGTAATAATAAATGGTAATACAAGAAACAATAACAATGGCACTGTGATGAAATGATTTTAAAAGATGTTTCCAAGTATTTATTTTATTTTATGTCTATGAGTGTTTTGCCTGCATGTATCTATGTTCAATCTGTGGGTGTCTGGTGCCTGAATAAGTCAGAAGAGGGCACTGAACCTCTCTTTATGGATGATGTAGAGCCACCATCCGGGCGCTGGAAACTGAATCTGGGTCCTAACTGCTGAGCCTCTCCAGCCCCTTAACAAAGATTTTTAAATGCTACCTTCCAAAAGGATCTCTTCAACTCAACCTTCATATATTTAGTGAGAGTATGAACTTTTAAGACAACTCATTTTCAAGATATATATTATCTTTAATATTGTACTAACTTATTAATATTTTCAAATTTATATTAATGGTCAGTTTACAAATGTTACCTTTAACCTATGCATGCATATTTTTCAATTAGGTAATCACATGTTCTCACTACCCTGAAATGTCTTAGAAACAATTTGTTACTAGGCATAAATTAATATTACTTCATTACTTGACGAGAATTCCAGGGTGTAAGGTTCAGATTAAGTCAGTCAGTTCAGTCATTAACAGTGAAGTCACTAGATAACATCATATGCTGAAGTCCAGATGAAATGTTAAGGAACAGAATAAGACACACGTGATCGCTACCTCAAAAAGCATTTAAAAAATAGGATTAATCAGCTCCTAATAAAAGCCAGAGAATGGTTAGATTCACATATAATCATAATTTGTTCAAAACCATTCATGTATTGACAGCATATTAAAACATAAGACAGAGTAACACAAATTCCAAAATAAATTCAATTCACAAAACCAGTGGGAATAAAGCTGATTATTGGTTACAACCAATGTCCATTTATGAAGTTTTTAATAATTGTGATCAAGTGTTGAATACAGTATATACAATAGCTAATGTTACTCTATAATAATATGTAATTAATGTTACATATTATTATATGTAACATTACTACATATGAAGAAAGGCTATTTTGAATGAGTAATTTGGACATGAACAGTGTTGTTTGCTTTTGGGCTTTAAAATTAAGTGAAATTTGAAAAACAGGTATTTTCCACTGGATGATTAAGTAATAGCAGTCTGGTAAGTTTGAGGATCAACTTTTCCTTCTGACACAACAGGAATCTCTGAAAGTCACTTTACCTTTCAGCCTTTTCAAGTACACAGGAACGTCACTTTTAATGCTCTTGGAATCCTCTTCTGTTCTCTCCCACACCATTCGAGGAGGGTTGTTTTGTGCTAACCAGTCAGCTACTTTGTTTTCTGGTGCCATCATTCCTGTCTGAATTCCCGGCAAGTCTTGAGTTCCAGGAGTGGCCTTCTTTGACTTGTGGCGATGGTCAGAAGTGAATTTTGTCACATGATCTCTAATAGTTACTTTTCCTGGTGTACTGTCATCAAATTCAATGGTAAATGAAGCATGCCCTGCACCTGCTGTATGGGAACTTGGTGTGTCTTTTGTTGGAATCTCATGAATAGTGCTCTCTGCTATTTGTGATGGCTGCTGGAATTCTTTTGTAGGAATTTCAAAGTAACTTGGTTCCCTACAGAAGGGAAAAAGTGCTTCCTCATTTGCAGCTGCAGACTGTTCCTCTACTTGCTTGGCATCTACGCTGCACCCTAATAAGAAAAATGAGAAAGAATTCAAAATATTTGGAAGCCTGTAGCATGAAGGTCATTGGTAATGACCATTTGCATTATTCTGAAAATCAGAAGGCAAATGATAATCCGGATGAAAAACAATGGCGCTTACATGACAGAAAAAAAGTCAGAGATGAAAGGATCTTGACCATGATCTAATTACCAATAGGAGCAGTAAGATAAGCAGCAACATTGACCAAAAAAAAAAAAAAAAGAAAAAAAAAGAAAAAAGAAAAAAAAAAAGCAAAGCAGGAAAAGATGGACCCTGCACTGCCAGCCCCATACAGTTTTCAACTAGAAAGTCTAGAAATTATCAGGGTGAGAAAAAAAGTAGAGATGGAGATGTTCTATACATACATGTGTGTATAAATACACACATACATAGTTATGATAGAAAAAGCATCAATTACCTAATCCAGTTGCCAGAATGAGCTATTTGAAACACTTGATAACAAATGTAGGGCTCTAACAGTGAAGAGGCAGTCAAGTGAGGCTGGAGACAGGAAGTAAATATATAAGCAATGCTTTGGAAGTCACAATGCCACTTACCAGTCTCTGTCATATTCAGAGACCCCTACTTTAGAAACTTGGGAGATGACATACATGTTATAAGGTAAGAGTGGTTAGCGATAAAACATGTGGTTTGCTTGCAGCATGGCAATCCAAGCAGTAGTATGAAAGAAATAATGCAAAAACAGAAAATTCTTTAGTCAGCCAGTAAGTCTGGGAGAAACTTATTCTACACCTCTGTATAGCAGAATATGCAACAACTTTCCAAAGGTCATGGGAGAAAGCTCAATGACAAGCAGTGAGTGGCAAGGAGACCAGTCAAAACCAGAACACTGTGACAATTCCTCCACTGCTTAAATCACTGACTTCATGCATAAAGATGTGAGAACAGGTGTTTGGTAACACAATGTGTAAGAAAAAAGGTGAAGATTAAGTTGCCCACTGGTTGAGAAAATAAAACGCAGTACCCATTACCAAGACATCCTACTATCATAAAAGAATTAATATGAAATAAATTTCCCTAAGGCTCAAATATCAACCTTACTGTAAGCAGATTTCATAGTAAATCACTTACAATTTACTAGAAAGAAAAGGCAATACAGGCATACTAGGCTGCTTCCAATCAATTTTTAATTATATGAAGTATGTAGTCTTCTGAAATATCTTTTCAAATATTACATCTTTGCACAATTCATTAGGTGCTATAATTGATTTCTTTCTAGTACACTGAATATGAAATTACAACAAAATTATCTTCTTTTGTTACAGAGTAATATTCTTGTCATCAAATATGTGGGGGATATGATATAGAAGATATCAGGCTCTGCTACTAAAATAATAATGATCATAACAGCCATGGTCATACTGTCAAAAAAATGTACACAAAAGGCAGACAATATTTACAAATAGAAACTTTCAAAGTAGAAAATTATTCTTTTCAAAATTTACTTCATTTGGTTTTGCCACAGAAAAGTGAAAATATTTCAGAGGAATTTATTATAGCAAAGAATGGAGGTAAGACGAAAATCAAGAGCAGACAAATGACCTTGAAAACAGTCTCCCAGTCCTCTCAGTATCAAGGGCCTGAGAGACTCAGGCTCGGCAGGACATCACTGTCAGGTTTCATTGTTCAATAGCTTACACTTGGGGATTCTCAGCAATGAAAGAAAAACTTAAATTGTTTTCTCTGTCTAAGAAAGTGGTGCTGTAGATAACTACATTTCATAATGACTTTTCACAAATGGTTTAACTTTTCAATAACTCAGTTGTAAAGTTAAAGTTCACTCATCTGGAAAACATAGTATGTGAACAGAGATTAATTTCTCTGTAGACAATCATGAAAGGTGTGGGCCTTTCAAAACTAGAAATACATATTAGAAAAATTGTTAAGTTTTAAGGTCATTCTACAAAAATTAAACAGCTTTCTTCTTTTACAACATTGAAAGAACACAGTCTAGAGCTTATGAATTCCATATTTCTATTCACAGTCATTTTTATTTAAACCAAATTAAACTGTATGGGATAGTATTTGTTTATACTAATATTTTATAATTAAAGAGTAATTTAGTAACTAAGATAGAACTAAATTTGTATGCATAAACCAGATGATATTAACATATAAATACATATGTACACACATATATCTTATAAATTTGTTCATTTATTTTGAGATAGGTCATTAGTAGCTCAGTTTGGCTGGCTTTATTAATTTATTTATATTTGAGACAGGGTCTTAATCTGTAGAAGCCTTCATTGACTTGTGGCGATGGTCAGAAGTGAAATTTCTGTCACATGGTCTCTACTAGTTATGTTTCCTGGTATAATATCAAATTCAAAGGTAAATGAAGTGTGCTCTACATCTGCTGTAAGGGAATTTGATGTGTCTATATTTGGGATTCATGAATAGTGCTTTCTGCAGTAAGTTAACATCACTCTGTGCCTCAATTCTTTTATCTATAAAATGGGCAAAAATAAGAGTAACTACTTTAGATACTGTCATGATGAGATGCATACAAATCATTTGGAAGAAGTAGACAAACTAAGTGCAAGTGAATGCTTGCCATTATGTGCCATGGTTCTACTCTTTATCATAGTCATATGCATATGTCATTGTATTTTACAAGTTATATATGTCAGAATTTCAAAATTGTGTGAGGGAGCAAATGCTACATTTTTATGGCTCCTTAATTTCCACTATCATGCAATTATCTTCTGAATTTTGCAACAATTAAATTGATCTGTGTTTTTTAACCCATCTAATTGGTTATAGTCTCCCTAACCAGATAGTTATCTCTAGTGCAAAATGAGGTTAGAATATATGGTACTTGAAGTAAGGAATTTAGAGTTCAGTGATGAAGATTTACAAAAAAAACAGCTAACTGAAGCAGTACTGTTCACTAGCAGTGTATCATTTAGTAATTTGCACATACTGTGGGAGAAGAGGAAACAGGAATTAGCACAATTTATGTGGTGGTACATTGACAGTAAAACAATAACAGATATAAGGTGCACTAGGGAACAAAAAGTTCAAAATCTTGTCAGGAAAAACAAAATTGTGGAACTAAACTAAAGGTCAGTTTACATTTGCTATGGAAAGTTTATGGCAATAAGGTTGAAACTTAAGGTAAAAGGTTTAATTATGACTCAGCAGTGTAAACAAAGACAACAAAAATAGGTTATATATTAGATAAAATGGAGATAAGATCATAAAAAGTAGACATTCTTGATTGACGTCCAGAACTTTTTACTAAAAGAACTTCAATACTTTCTAGTACCATTCTTCTATGACAAATAACTCCATACCATGCTTCAAGGTGAGCAAGATAATGATCATCTCACATGATTTGCCAGAGACTGGTTAGAACAGCAGGTGACCTTCTGAAAAAGCTAATGAGAGATCTGCTGAAGATTTTGGGTGAGGTCTTCTTCCAAATACTGGGAGGTCTTCTGTATACAACTTTTCTCTTTATTGCTGAGTGTGACCAAAGTTGTATAACTTTAAATGCTGATGGCAGCAGCTTTGAATTTGAGGGGTAACTATCTGTATGTAAGTAGTGTGGATAGCAAGTCAGGGACGTGAAACTAGCTAACAATTCTGTCTATTGCACTGAACAACCCTGAGAGAAATCAGGTATGGGAGCCATACATTCCTTTCCTACTTGGTTATCAGACAGTAGTTCTTTCATTTACAACTGAAGGCATGTTAAATAACATTACATGCTATAAAGAAACAGCACTGTAAAGAAACAAAGCTGTGATGGAAAGTTATTTTCAAGTTTGGCATCCTGAGTCCTACTTGATCATGACAGCTTTTTAAAGACTTGTACTCTGGTGTAATTAGACTGTGTCAAAAGACAAAGTTCATAATTCTCCAGCTAAGAAAACTGTCCTGTTTATTTGTATAGATGAAGTAAAAAAAACCAAAAAACCTTGAAAGAGTTCTGATGGGGTTTGTCCTTGCCTCAGTGTCATACTATGTCTTCCAAACTGATTCATGGTATCTGCACTTATTCCCTCAGTGTAGGACCCTTATCTGCTATTAATAAAGAAACTGGTTGTTCCATCCTTCAGTTCTGATGTCTTTTCAACAACTTTATGTGACAAGTGGTATCTCCATTTATCTTGGAAATCTTGACTTTTCTGGACCCAGGTTCCTTAGTTACTGATATGCGAATCTATTTCTATACTTTTGACTGCTGAACTCTGAATCATATTGCTATCTTAAAAAAGTAAGCATGGTGGGGCTTTAAAGAACTTATAATTTCATATTGTATTTTTGAATATAACAGATTTTTTTATTTTGCAGTATATGATTATGAATCAAGTAAAAACATGTAACTCACATGTCCTTACTTTATATATTCTAACGTGCTTAAAATGTTCAGTTTATGGCATTAATCTGTTTAACAATTCATAAGCTGGAAAAATATAATGAGATTTTATAAAGATATCAGATTTAGCATATTATGTTAGGCTTATAATACATTACAAGAGCAAAGTCACCATCACCTTTAAAAAATCAAGTTACGTTATAGATAATTTTTCAGAGTAGATTGACTTTTGTTTGGAATATAAATACTTGTCCAATAAGCATTTGATATTATAGTCATTGAAGTATTTACCTGAAGCCCCAGCTTCATGATTTTTTTCTTCAGGCTTGCCATTAGATTTGAAAGCTCTTTGTTCATCCACCTCATCATCTCCCCACCATGATGGCTGCCCATATAATGGAGTACCACGGGGCATAGCAGAAACATCTAAAAGAGGTGGGGGGAAAGAAATCTCTCTAAAGCAGATGAAGCAAGAAAACATTTTTTATGGTGCTAGATTTACTTAGTTGATTAAAATTACTCTACTTTTAGTAACATAACATTTGAACATAAGCAGCAGTAGACACCATTAAGTGAATGAAGATCAGCAATGATTAAGTAGTGCAACTTGCTATAATCCATCAGCTTTTTGTTATGTGTTAAGAGCTCTCTGATATATACCCGAGCCCTGGTAACAAATGATCTTTGAGTATTTTGACAGAAGTGTCTTAGATGGAAGAATTTTGTTAGAATTACCAAAATAATAATGAAACCAGTCTGATCAGGAATGTCACTAAATCTAAATATATAAAAGATAGAACTAAAGCAAATACTGGCATGGGCAACAACATAAGCGATTATACAGTAACTACATTTGTACTCAATGCTAACAGATCTTCAGTTCCAATAGCTGTGGTACTGTTTATCAATTTAATACATTTGGTACATGAAGGGATTATCTACATAAAGCATCTTAGCAGTTATTAAAACTATAAGCATGATATGATGATGGTACATTATTAAATTTTTCCCCTTTATTTCAATTATAATTTAGAGAAGTATAGATAGTATGAAATAATAAACTATTATTTCCTTCAACTATTGAAATCATTTTCCTTAATAGTTAAGATATTGGGTGTACATACATATAGTTCTGTCAATGTTTTCTAGGGAAAACTGGCTATACTGAAATGTACTCTGGGATCAATCACTAGTATAATCATTTTTGTACAGGTTTGAGAACAAAGAATGCAATTTCTTCAAAACCCAAGTATAAATTCAGAATTTCAAAAGGAATTAGCTTACTGTAATGTATATTATAGTGACAAACTATTATGTGTTGTCTGAGGTCATTGAGAAGATAGTTCTGAAAGTGAGGTAGACATAACCCCCACTTTAGACTCCAAGCAAAGTGTCCTCCATGGTCTGGGGATAAGCTATTCCCCTAACTCTGACATGGAGAGAGAGAGAAACAAAGAGTCCCAAAGTAAAGCATGTGTCCTTGAGGACAGTTGAAAGGTAAAACATTTCCAGCAGAGGTTATTATTGTTTACCCTATAATATGAAGTGTCTGCAAAGGAAGAGATGAGCTGGAAACGTAGCTCGAGGAAGCTATGTTTGAGAACTGCAGCTAAGTGCCTCATTTTCCCCAGTTAGTTACTACTGGATGTTGTGAGCAACCTCTTAGATAATGCTACCTTTCTGTATTTTAGTTGCTGTAGTTACTTGGAAGCCCTACCTCAAGGGACTTTGTATTGGGAATTCCAGTTGGTACCTTGAAGGTGCTTCCATAGTTAACCAACTCTGAGTACCCAACCTGATGGTTTTTTTTTTTTTGTGCTTCCTCTCTCCCTCCCCTCCTCAGCCCTCCCTCTGAATAGAACAATAGATATGGCTATTGTAGGTCATTCTCCATAGCATACAAACCACTTACCCATGGGTTTCTCCTCAGATTTCAGTGCTTCTGTGGCTCTGTGGGGCACTTCTGCAGTAGCATCCACTTTGGAGTCTGTGCCTTTAGCACTTGCTGATTTTGGTAATTCTGATTCTGAAGACTTCTGGGACAACTGAAGCTGAATGGTAAACTTCTCATGCTATAAAACATTTAAAATCAAAGGGAGGCTTCCATAAAGAAGTCAACTGTAGTGAGTAATAGGCAACAACAAGGATAAACTCTTACCTTAAGAGCTTCTTCAGGAACCCTCATTTCTCCTCGAACTACAGTGAAGAGATTTGTATGTAAACAGAGCTAAGGAAGAATATAACTCCAAAATTTTGATTATTGTGCTTAATATATCCATCAAATATAATTTGGAAATTGTCCTATTTCAAGGGTAAATATGGAATTATTATGTTTATTTATCATCTATTTATACAGGTACTGGGGATTAAATTCAGGATCTTGCATATGCTAGACAAGTACTCTACCACCAAACCACATCCTAAGATTTAAAAGAAAATTTTTTTATAGACAAGGTCTCTAGGCTGTCCTCAAATCTGAGATTTTTCTGGTAACTCACAGAGTACCTAGAATGTAGTATGTGTCTATAATACTCCCTTTAATATTAAAAAAATACTTAAAATATATAATTTGTCATTTAAAAATATTAGCAACTTAAAAAATAATAAATATCTGTAATCTCAGGCAATACTAGCCTTCAAATAATTAGAACACAAACATTTTTAATTTTCACAAACAACAATATTACAGGACCAAATTATAGATTCCTGGTCACAAAGGTGTAAAAACGTCTCATGAGTTAATACTCAAAAGTAAATCCTGAAGGAACTGATTACCCACATTTTTATAAACTTTGATAATAATGAGGTTCATTTTGTAAATACAAAGAAAATGAATGCTATAATAAGGGTTTATGTGCAACCATACCACCCCCTTCCCTCCATGTACTGCAATAAGGTCATATTACACTATAAAACAATGATTCTATATACATGAGAACAAATGCTAGATATAATAAATGCTTTCATTATTATGCCAAAACAACAAGGCTTCTTATTAAAGATCAATTCACTAGAGGTCCTATTTCCTACCATTATTAACCTTACAGTGAAAGAAATTTTATAATCATGTACTAAATTCTACTCCCCTTTACTAATTCAAAGCATTTATCAATCACTTCAAGGGGTAGAAAATTGTAATTGTTGTGATGTGTGCATGGGCACACATGTGAGAGAGAGAGAGAGAGAGAGAGAGAGAGAGAGAGAGAGAGAGAGAGAAAACAGACAGACAGACAGACACAGAGACAGAGAATGATTAAAATGTAATGGGAGTAGTAAACTTATTAACATCATTTTTTAGAGCAGTAAACAAAATTGAAGAATACTCCGCTCATTCCACTAATCTTTATTCTTATTCAATAATTTAGTGAACAGAACCTCCCATCCTTTCTAGAGCTTTCTTGTTAATAAAGTGTCTTCCTACTGCTCTGAAATACTAAACTTTTCCCTTTCTTTTCATACACATACTTGCTGATATACTTAAAAATATCCATGTAACTAAACATTAGTGGAAATTGTCTAGCAAGCAGTTCTCAACCCATGGTTCACAGCTTCCACAGGGTCACATATTAGATGTCCTGAATATCAGATATTTATAATTCAAAATAGTAACAAAATTACAGTATGAGGTAGCAGCAAATATTTTTAAGGATGAGGGTCACCACAAGGGTCACTGTATTAGGAAGGCTGAGAACCACTGGTCTAGCACATTTTGCCTCAGAAATTAAGAGAAAGATATAAAATACAAAAGAAGATGTCAAATTATCCTTATTTGCCCATGTGATGATTCGATAGTTGAAAAGCTCTACAGACTCCATTAGATCTTCAACACTTTCAGAAATGTTTCAGGGCATAAAAATCATCATTTAAAAAAAAAAGAAGAAAAACTAGTAGTGTTTTAATACTCAAATAACAAATTTGCTGAGAAAAAAATTATGAAAAAAAGAACATTGCATCCATCTGCCAAGATAAAGTACCAACGGATACACCTAATCAATTAAGTAGACTTTTTCAATGAAAATTTAAGATACTGGGAAAATAGCTGACCAGAGAAACGCTCCTAGATTGGCAGAATTATGTATTGAAAATGGCTAACCAAGGCAATTTATAGACTCAATGCAATCTTAATCAAAATCCCAATGTCTGTCTTCATACAACTAGAAAAAGTAATCTAGAAATATATACACAAAAAGGTCATGAATAGCCAAAAAAAATCTAAGTAACAAGAACATTGCTGGAAATATCAAAATACTACAGAGCAATCATTATGACAACAGCAGGTTCCAACACAAAAGGAGACATAATGACTAATGGAACATAAAATAGGATCCAGAAACAAACCCTAAAGCTATATACAGCTAATATGACAAGGTTGTCCCAATCACATATTGCAACAAAGACAGTCTATTAAAAATCAGTGCTGCAGGAAAAACTGGCCAAAAATCAACTCAAAGTGCATGAAAGGTCTTAATTTAGAGCCTGAGACATTAATACCGCTAGAGAAAGACACAGGGAAAAACATTTCAAGACATAGACATGATCAAAAACTTTATGAGGATTGGATAGCACAGTAAATAGCCAAAAGTGGGATTGTGTGGATTTATGAAACTTCTGCACAGCTAAGCAAAACTACCAGCAGAGTGAACAGATAGATCATAAAATGGGAGAAAATGTTTGTTAGCTATACTTAGAATGGGGTTAATATCTAGAACATATTATGCACCTCAAAAATTGGCCACCAAAAGAAAAACTGCAAGTCATTAAATGAATTAAAAATACAGTTCTGAAGACAAACACACACACATATGTGTGTGTATATATGTATATATATGTATATTATATGCATATGCACAAAGGATGTTAAACATCCATCAGGAAAATGAAAATCAAAAGTACTTTGAGTTCTAGCTCACTACATCAGAATGTTCAGGAAATATCAGAAATTATCAGGAAAATAAAGGACTACAAATGCTGAAGATACAGGGTAAAAGAAACATTCATTCATTGATGATGGGAGTATAAACTGATATAAAAATTATAGGCATCCGTACCAAGGAGTATCAAAAAACAAAGACAGTTATCATATGGCCTAGCTCTCCTCCACACCTGGGCATATACCCAAAGTACTCCACATCCCACTAGAGAGGTACTTGAAGATCTGTATTTGTTACACTTTATGCATAACAGCAAGGAAATGGAGCCAGCCCAGATGTCAATCAACAGTTCAATGTTTGATGAAGATGTACTACATACACACGATGAAATTTTACTCAGCTATAAAGCAAAAAGAATTATAAAGTATGCATGAAAATGTATGGGTCTGTAATTAAGCAAGCTAATTAAAATTCAGAAAGACAAATCCCACATTTTCTATTTTATATGTGGAGTTTGGATCTTAATGTGCATATGAATGGATTTATGCGCATATGTATGTGGTAAGGGTATACATAGGTCATGAACGTAGAAAGAAGTTCAAGAGAGGAGAAAAGTGGTACTGAAGAAGATGGTAATAAAGCATTTACAATAAGAAAGCAGGAAAGAGGTCATGGGGAATGTAAGACTGTAAAGAGGCAACAAAAGCAAACTGTATTTGAAACCCAGGACTTTGCGTGGCAATAAAAAAGAAGATGAAAGAAAGAAAACTATAATCAGATATGGTGGCATATGCCTATAATCTTGGTACCCAGGAAGCTGAGGCAAAAGAATTGTGAATTTGAAGTCAATCACTGGGCTACAGTCAGTTTTCTTTAATGATGCAACCAACCCCTGGTCAGTTAACTAGACTCCAGGTCAGGTCCGTTCCCAAGGCTAGCTAGCTAGGCCACACAAACTGAGGTGGGGAGGTGGGGGAGCGACTGAAGAAAGAAAACTCAAAGTTAGGCGGGAAGGGAGGGGAGGGTGGTTACGCAAGGAGTTGGGAGAGGGAAAGTGAGTATGCTCAAAACAAACTGCAGGACACCTTCAAAGACTAAAATAATAGTGTTTGAAAAATTATTTAGTAGATCCTCAGACCAACAAAAAACTACACTTGCATCTAACAAATATGAAATGAGTGAACTTATTTGGCCTCCTTACCTGCCAGATTTGTGGTTATCTGAATGATCACAAGCTTCTGAGGTTTATCAATTGTTGTTTTGAGTTTATGGTCATTTTGAAAATTGGAATTTTCACTGAGTTCGTGCTTTTCAAAAGAATGTCTCTAATTAAGAAGCAGACTTATGGCATATACATTAGGTTCTCTAGTTCAAACCTTAAGCCATGTTAACGTCGTTGCTCCATTAGGTGACATGTTGTTAATCGGAGCTTCCCACTCTAGGGCACAGTCTATATAGATTGGCTATTGTTTTACATATAAAGTATGACAATTTCCAAAGTCTACCATATAGAAACAAATATAATTATCACATGAAATGATTTTAAAAATTCTGTCCCATGGTTAAAATTTCTGCCAATTTAAGAGCCCTATGTTAATTTATATCAGTGGCTCTCAATCTTCCCAATGCTGTGACCCTTTAATACGATTCCTCCGTTGTCTTGACCTAATGATAAAATTATTTTCATTGCTACTTCATAACTGTAATTTTCCTGTTATGAATTGTAATGTAAATAACTGATATTTAGGATATTTGATATGCAATTCTCAAAGGGGTCACAACCCACAGGTTGAGAACCAGTGCTTTACATAAAAGTCTTGGAATTATAATCAGCATAAAATGCTAAATGAAAACAACAACAGTGCTAGCTCAATACTAACTATATGATTCTGAGGAAGTCCTTCCAAAAATAAAAAAATTTTTTTAGGTATTATGAGCTATATATTAGGTGGAAATAAGGTTAGCAATCTGCAAAAGCATGGGTTATTTCTTATACCTCCTCCTCCTCTTGTGAGTGCTCTCACACGATGCTCAAGCCATCTTCCTGGTCCAGCCTCCTGAGAAGTGAGTATACTCTACTGCATTTGCTATAGTTTCTTCTGAAATTAGTACTCAAAAGTAACTTTACACAATTTTATTAAAATCTGAATTTCTTAGGATGTTCCCTTTTCTTAAGACAGCTAATACTAAATTAATTAAAGGAGATATTTATATATAAAATATATTTGTAAGTTTTGATAAAGTTTAAGCTGGTTGAAAATAATTTTTAACTATATGTAATTTAAAGCATTTACAATTAATTATTTATTTGGTGTATGTATGCATGCATGTTTACCAACATAAATACGTAGGGGTCACACAATATATTTCAGGAGTCTTCTCTCCATCTTTCTACCTTGTGGGTCAGTGGGTCATGGGGATTGAGCTCAGGCTGCCAGTCTTGGCAGCATAACTTCACCTGCTGAGCCATCTCACAAGCCTTACCAAACAAACAGTTTTTGGAAACATTTAGAATATATAACAAATAAGTATTCAATTTATATTTTTTCAGTTTTTAAAAAATATAAATGTTATGTTTATATTCTAGCTTTATATTTTAAACTTTAAAAATTCTATCTTTGGGCTGGAGAGATGGCTCAGAGGGTAAGAGCACTGGATGCTCTTCCAGAGGTCTTGAGTTCAATTCCCAGCAACCACATGGTAGTTCACAACCACCTATAATGAGATCTGGTGATCTTTTTTGGCATGCAGGCACACATGCAGGCAGAACACTGTATACATGATAAATACATTTAAAACAAAAAACAAACAAACAAAAATTCTATCTTTTGTTATTTGTGTCAGTACATTTGTGTATCAACTAGAGCTATCTGAGACTAATTTCTCTGAGACGGCTAATGTTTAACTTTTTAAATTATTATTTGAGTTTTGATAAATGTTTAAAAACTAAATAAATCTCACAAGAAATTTTCATCATAATGAAAAATATTTTTATTTTAATTAAATACAAATAGAAATGTTATTATTGTTTAGTCATATTACTTCATTTTACTAGGTTCTTTTATACTATTCTTTACAGTACAGTAAAATCATACCTGTCCAATTATTAGACTCTGATTTTTAAACAAAAATTCAAATACGCACTAAATGACAACATGCTATGCTAGTCAAGTAAAATTGGTGTCAGAAAGCAGGCTATGCTAAAGTTGGAATTAAACCAGCAGTACAGCACAGAAGGGAAGGCAGGCTAATGTTTTATATCCTCCTAAGAGACTGACTTGGGACCTCATAATTCACCTGGCAAGACCCTAGGTGGACTGTACTTAAGCCTTCCACTGCTGTCCTTCCAGCTCCACTCTTTTAACACCCGCATTATATACACAGCAGCACACAAAAAGAGATGGGAAACAGCTGAGTCTGACCAAGCTTCCCAGGATCATTCCTAGGAACCAGTAACCGAAAACAAGCAGAAAGAATCTAATTAAGCATAAACGTCTAGTACTGTGAATTTTGATATCACAAGATGTTACTTGTAGCATAGCACATATTTTTAAAAAATTAATAAATGCACAAAATTATATAAGGATATCATATCCAAATCTCAGCTTATCTTCAAGTTTCAAAGTGATGTATGTCTGCTCTGGTATCCTTACATCATTCACAAAAGTCTACAGGGAAAAAAGAAAACGATTATATTGCATATGAAGTATTAATTCTCACATTTCAGTCAAATTCATCAACCGATTACTACTCAAGAGTGCTTATGATGAAGTGCATCCTAACATGCTGAGCAGCCTATAGCACAATTATTTCATACTTAACCCTTTGTAAATGTCACTGGTAACACAAAGCACAGTGAATTTTGGCATTTGGAATTTTTCTAAAGATGATGTCAGGAAAGCTCTTAATCTGAAGCTGGAAACCTATACAGAGTAAAATACTTAATTCTAATCAGTTTCAGGATTTTTAGGAATTTTATTTGTAGAGATTAACATTTTATCACTTCATTCTCAGAATCATTCCACTTAAAAAACTTATTACACTTATTAATTTATTATAGATACTCATGTCTACACATGTGTGCATATGGAGGTCAGGACATCTTGCTGGAATTCATTCTCTTTCCACAGTATGGGTTTCAGGAATTAAACTCAGTTCTTCAGGCTTAGCAGCAAACATCTTTAACTGCTGAGCCATCTTGTGCTAGCTTTACAACTGCCCTATGAGTCCTTGGATCTTTCTATGAATCTATGACACATTGCCATATAGTAAGTAAATGCATTTTCCTGTATGTTGAAATTCTGCTTTATTTTCACCATGGTATTTTATTTTTACTCAATTATTCCTAACAATGCTGAAAATTACAAAACAAATTGCAGAATTACCTACAAAGGCACTATCCAAGAGAAATAAGCCATAATTCCCAATCAAATAGTACACACTACTTGTTGTTTTCTTTTCTTTTCTTTTTTCTTTTTTTGAGACAGGGTTTCTCTGTGTAGCTTTGTAGATCAGGCTGGTCTTGAACTCACAGAGATCCTCCTGCCTCTGCCTCTCAAGGGCTAGAACAAAGGCGTGCGCCACCACCGCCCAGCTGTTATTTTCTTGTAATTAGAATTACAACTACTTTTGATAATGCATTTTAAATGTAATCTAGTATATTAAAAACATACTAGCTGAAGTAAAATTAGTAAGGTATTTCACATATATATATAAGTTTTTGGAATTTAGAATAGTCACGTCTCAAAAATTCAGTTGTCACTAATGGCTATGATAGTGAAAAGCCCAGACAGAGGAATGAGGCAACAAAGACATAAGTCATTCTGTCATTCTTTCGTTTCTTACTGCAAAGCCTGACATATTGGATCAGCTTCCCAAGAAGATATCTGGATATGCTGTCTTTTTAGGGTTTTTTTCTGTTTCTCTCTTTCCTATTTTTTTTAACACCACTAAAGAGGACAGCTAAAAACACTTAGTTTAAATGTCCATTGAAGCAAAGGGAGGCAAACAGGAAATAAAATACAACTCAATTATACAATGAATAGACAAAGAGCACTGTAGATTACGACAATGATATAATCACAGCATTGACAAAATTATCACACTGTGTCTTCAGGGAATGAAGATAATTCTAGTTCACTTTTCTTTCATCCAGAATCAACAAGAAGAGAAAAGAGTACTTCTAAGAACAAAAAGACAGCAAGATGTTTTCATTCTGTTAGACATTTAATAAGAAGTACCATGCAGTATCTCCCAAAACGAACCTAAAATATAGTTTAAACTATCTCTATATACAGTTTAAAATTGTGTGTGTGTATGTGTGTGTGCGCGCGTGTGTGTCTCACTAGGACCCAGGACTTGCTGGTAGGCTATGTGTGCTGATCAGTAAAGGCTGGTAATTACCTGTCTCTGCTCCCCGGTGTTGAGATTACAAATGTGGTTAATTACACTCAACTTTTTACATTGTGTTGGGGATTGAACACACGACCTCAGGAACAAACTCCAGTCTGAAAAAAGCCTAGGCTGGAACATAGGCTGCTGTGTAGTAGCATACTAACAAAAGACAGGATTGGGATATGACAGTTATGGTAAGATACAGAGGTCAATGGAAGGAGAGTTGAAGATAATCAAGGTTCTCACAGAGAAACTTAAACGGGCTCTCAGAAACGTGGGCTACCAAAGCACAGCAACAAAACCAGTTTCAACTTTCTCTGCCTTATTTTAATATGATTTCTGGAGGTAAAAATACATATTCAGGTCCCTTGGAAATATGTTTTGTGACACGGTAAAAGGAATAAGAGTGGAAGTGATAATTTCAAGTTGAGTTTAGAGGGTAAATGCTTTTCTAATTATTATTTTCCTAAACAATAATATCAACACATATAATAACAAAACTGTGGCTGAGATGAAACTTTCTGAACTGTATGTTAATTACCTATTCTACACATAGAAAATATTAAAATTTTCTTCTACAAGGTCTTTTGGATTGAAAGTTAATTCAATTACATATATTCAATCATATATATCCATACATAATTACTGTATGTAATTACTACATATATAATTTGATCACATACTCACATATACACACACAAACATATATATGGGGGATTCATGAACTGTATGAAGCTCTGTGTACTGTGATTATAATTATGAAAGCTAAAATCACCCAGTAATTCATAATCAAACACAAAACAGATATTAAACACAGGTTTTGGGGTATACAAAATGAAAAAGAAACCTAGCCAACAGGAGTTATGAATCCATACTATTAACAAATATCCTGTACAACACATGCTGCCTATTTTGTCTGCTTTTTGTTTAAATTCTTCCAGCATGGTAACATTAACCACTTGACATTCCTAAATGCAAGGACCTTTTCGTTGATCCCTTTAAGAAGAATTTGAGTTTTACTCTTTAAAAAAAAATATAGAATGGCAAGACAAATAGGCCAAAGAAGTCAGAAGAGCAGAAGACTATAGTTCTAAAGGTATGCCAAGGAGAAAGGTGACAGGTTATATGATGTCTCATGCCACATGAGAGGTGTTTCAGTACAAATTTGAAGAATTCAAACTTAACTTTATGTGCTAGAATCAACAGAATAGTTAACCCCAAAAGTTCAAATAATCAATATAAGTCTTTTAGTAGTAGGCAAATTATAAACTGAAAAGTTCTATTTATGAATATGCTTTCCATGTGTTTAAGGTGTATTTTTCATGGCAGCAATTCAAAAAACTCAAAATACAGGTAATTTGTTAAATTTCAACAAGGATATAATATCAAAGATAAAATATCTGCTTGTTAGAAGAGCTACAAGAAAATTAAGATGTTGAAATAATTCAACACCTCAATATTCTCTCATATCCTGTGACTATAAAATAGTCTAGAAAATGTGAAAGATCATATAGAAATTTCAAAAAAAATCTATCAGTTACACAAAAATATCTAAAAAGACAAAAAGCAGTAAAAGCAAATCCTAGTGTTCCCATAATGCATTGTGTGTGTTAAAGTAAATGTTTATTTAGATCCTTGTTTTTACTCCAGCCCTACAAAATAGGAGGTCCTCTGGTATCTAGCAACAAATCTACCTTTCCATTCTTATTTTCTAAAAGTGAGAATATCTCTCTTGTGCCCAAAAGTGTTTTACACATTCTTATCACCCGGGACTTTTTCTTTCTCCCCACATATGAACCACATTCACATACTGAGCTCAAACTTCCATCTCATCTCCCTAAAGAAATCTATCACACATCATATCATTAAGTGCCTTTTATAATTCCTCTATTTATTCCTTAGCTTCTTCTATATATGGGTTCAATGTACTATGCACATTTTAAGTATTTAAAAGGGAAAGACTAAAGAAAAGGGAAAAACACACAAGAAATACAACATTATTAACATTAAACAAGTATTGAACCAAAGTAAAACCTACACTGTTAACTTACCCCATTAAGGCTGCCTAAATCTTTCACCAAATGTTCATCCGTAGATGCATCATAATTGATTACTGCATGCTGCTTATCCACACTGCGGGACTAAAAGGAAAGATTTAACTAATTAACTACAAGAAAATACTAAAGTAACAAGAGTTTTCACCTATATATACAATATTAATAGGACAGCTGGTAAATATAGGGATAGATTAAAAAAGCAGATTAAATTAAATCTAAACTGTATTATGATAAAACAGAAATTTGGTATCATTTCCTAAAGACAACTTAGCTAAGTTTCTAAAATACTCTTATCAATAAATCCATTTTTAAATTCTGAATTTAAATTAATTTTGTTGGATGTATCAAACTATGTAGTTTAAAATTTGTAAAATTGTTACACAGAAATCCAATGAATTATTTTCTATTTTACCTATCTTATTGTTAAGAAAGTGTTACCTTGCAAGATTTCTTCCTTTAATACTGAATATTATAAGAAAAACTGCATAAGAAACCCAAAGACTTACATGATAAAAAAGGACAAAATGATGGCTATTTGACCAAATTTATTATCACTTAAAACTAGAATTGTTAGAAATGATTTTTTCTATAAACACAGTAAGTGTACCTATATGTACACATGTGTACATCATACACACACATGTACACACATTTACATTTATATATTTTAAGCTTTTGTTTTTCAAACTATAATCCTTAAAACACAACTCATTTACAGATAATACAAGGGTGAAAATTAATTAAATTGATACAAGAGTTAGGTGAGTCAGAAAATTTGTCTGAATTTTATAAAAAGTATATCTGATATCTGATTGAATAAAGGGGACAGCAGTTCTCGAAGCCCAGCTAATCTTAGTGCTTGCATAGAGAAGGCTGACACATTACCTGCAGCATGAGCTCACAGTCATCTCTTCCAACAAAAATCATTTCTCGTGGCAGTCTGTGGCGAGTGCCTCCACTGCTCACCAAAAACCAGGATGTTAAGCTCATTTCTGCTTAGCTTCTGAATCCTTAGCAAAGCTACATCATCCTGCAGATGAAGAAAAGCACATTAGAAACTCTCTTCAGTATCTAGTTACTAGCCCTGTAAGTAGGCCTAAAACAGAATTGCCTTCAACATTTATACCCAATATAAACCACATTCTCATCAGTATTATAATCCAGAAACTTCACCAAGAGTCCACTTAAAAAGGAAAGAATTAAGAAAATAAGTAGATGGTCAATTAGTAAATTTTTGTTCTATTTCTAAAAGGCTTCTAGACTCAATCTGTACATTCCAAGTATTAGTAGTATAGTAACATAAAAACAGCTGTGCTGTACAAATACATGTCTTACTGAAAAAGTCTGACAGAACAAAACTGAGAAAAGTGTATCTAACATCTAACTAGAATAACTCTGGAATCCAAAGACATTGCTTGTTTATCAAGAGAAGAGACAATGGGGACAATTTCAACAACTTAAAATTCCAATTCCTTCCTCCTCTTCCAGTCCCGTCCCTTCCACGGAACTTGCTAAACAGAACAGGGTGGCTCTGAGATCAGACCATTCCTCTTGCTGCTGCCTCCTTAGTGCTGGGTTACAGGTGTGAGCCACTACTTTATTTTCTCAATACATCATCCCCCCCCCCTTTGGGTTTTTTGAGACAGGGTTTCTCTGTGGCTTTGGAGTCTGTCCTGGAAATAGCTCTTGTAGATCGGGCTGGTCTCGAACTCACAGAGATCTGACTGCCTCTGCCTTCCGAGTGCTGGGATTAAAGGTGTGCACTACCACCACCCGGCAATACATTTTTCTTAGAATAGCAATTCTTAAACTTTTGGTTCTCAGGAGTCACTTGCACTTTTAAAAGAAAAAAAAAAAAAGACCCGTAGGAGTACTTGTTTACATGGGTTATGATATACCTGAAAAACTGGTATTTGTTTCATTTAAAAGAATAAAAAAACTCACTTAAAATTACTAATATTTGTAGAAACGTCATTTTCTAACCCTCTCTCCAATAAGAAAATAGCACTACTTAAAATATGGGCTATCTTTTAGACATCTGTATTAATAGAAAAATTTCCCCATTTTCTTGCATTTATTCTACTGCCATACTTTTGAACTAGAAATATATAAAGGAAAGCTGGTTTTGGAGTGATGAAAAGGGGCTTTAAGTCTTTTTAAAATATCTGTAGGGCTTTTTAAAATATACAAGGCAAAGTTCCTTGATTATATGCAATATGGAAACACTATGAATTATGCACAAATTTATCTTCCACTCAGATGGGCTTTTGTAACATACATTAATCTTTTGAAAAAATATGTTTTTCAGAATTATGTAGATCTTCAAAATGCTTGACTCTTCAATTCACACTACTTTAAAACACATTAAATATTACCACCTATCTCAACAGAAAAGTCTTATTAGGTCCCTACTAAGCGTACGGGAAGAATTCATTATCTCAAATTATGTCCTTGACACCTAAAATTTTATCACTGAAAAAAAATCCTGTCAGTTTTTCTTAAAGTTCATTTTGACAAATACTTAGCTCTACTTAGCAATCTGCCAATCACTGGCATAAAGTGATGTTTTATGAAAGCATGGGTCTAGCTCAGCTTACACCTCACACAGCGACACAACTTATTTTCCTGGAGACAGCCACAATAGTCTGGCACAGAGTGTAATTGCTCTGTAAGTACTTTCCTCTAGTTCTGAGAACACTACAAAGGTATGAAAACAAGGTCAAGATTTCAGATAGTCACCCACTGCTACATTTCTGTGAGACAATCTTAGGTAAAGGATTTAATTGCAGCTTAACAACAATGATGCCTACAGCTACTATTGGTACAGTCTGGTCCAGTGCCTTAATCTGTGCTACTGAGCTTTACTACAGTTGTTTTTGTGTGGTGTATGCTAATAGAAATGCAACAAGAGAGGCAGAAAAGTCCTTCGGTATCATTGAACATCTGGTCCCATGGACCCTTGAAAGAACTTCCTCCATGGAGTCCCAAGGACCTGTAGACTGAGATTATAGCAACTGTCTTATGTTATGTAGTTTTGTCAATAACACATTCAAGCTTGGGAGTCAAATATCAATGGGTGATTCTGAATCCTGTTCTACTACTTTTACTCTGCATAGCCTTAGGCAAGGTGTTAAGTGTCATGTTCCTTAGTTTCCTCTTCCATACTTAAAAGTCATGATACTGCCTACTCAAGTTTTGTCAGAAATCCAAAGAATATTTTCATTTTTTCCTAAGATGTACACTATGCTGCACTTGAACAAGAAATAAACTATAATGAAAGGAAGCATTTTATAATAAAAATAGATACATACTTAAGCCAAATGTACAATGTTCTGGGGAAAATCCTGTTTATTATGTTAAAAGTCACTTTCTTTGTTTATGTTACTGTGATAAAATATCATAATGACAAGCAATTTGGGCAGAAAAGGGTTTATTTGGCTTATAGAATGCAGTGCATCATCAGACAAGAACTCAAAGAAAGAAACTGAAGGTAGGACTTGAAGCAGAGGCCACAGAGAAACATGCCACCTTGGCTTGTTCAGCCTGCTTCTTATACTTTCCCAGAGTGACACTGCCCATCGGTGGGACAGGACCGCACATCAGTTACCAATCATGAAAATGTTCCCCAGGCTAGACTACAAGCCATCTGATGGAGACATTTTCTCAACTGAGGTTCTCTTTTGACCTTAGTTTGAACATTTCTTTCACTACTTCAGAACACAGTCTCCATGGCCCTGTCAATAGAGAGCCAGAATTTAACTAAAGGAAAACCTTTTATGTAAATATATCACATAATTTACATACTCCATTTACAAGGAAGAACAATTTTAAAACACTGAATAGAATAGTAAGTAGGTCAACAGTTACATACTTCTTAAAGGAAACAAAAATGAAAATTACAGTATGACATATCAAAGGAAATCAATTCATCTTAAACAACAGTAATCTAAACCAAAAGAACCAAACATGGACAAATACAAAACAAAACAAAGAACCAACCAACAAACTAAAAAATCAGTTTAAACAAGCACCATTCATGTTATAAAACAGCTTTTAATTCTCATTTGCTATAAGATAGTCTTTAAACACTTCTACAGCATTACATAACTAGATAATTATTTGACATATTGTATTTATGCAATTTTCACAATTACATAATGTAGTTAAATGGCTTTTTATGAATCTATTTTGGCTTTTCAAGAAGTTTAGAGAATACGTATTTTCTAAAATGAAACAAAAGTGTAATATTTAATATACAGTGTATTATGTTCTTTTGTGGGCTAAGGCAATGACCTTGAATCCACTAAATATCTTTTCTTCTGGGGAATGAAATATAGCATAAAGCTACATTCTCTGTTTTTCTCTAAGAATCTCTAAGATAGATTTACTGTCATTCCCCAGGTACTCAATTTTTTCTTTTCTCATGTGTAGATGTATACATGGTATATCTGCATTTACAGGTTATGTGGCAAGAGAACATGCAGAGATCAGAAGTTGATGGATAACTTCCTTGATCACTATTTATTAAGGCAGGTTCTCTTGCTGTTCCTGAAACTGATCCAGTTAGTTGAACTAACCAGACTGAACCAGGGACCCCAGGCCTGTACCTCCTATTGTTGGAATTACAGGTAGGTCATCCATGTGGACTGCCAAGCAATTTCAAAATGGGCAATAGACCCATACAGACATTTCTCAAAAGAAGACATCTAAGTAGCCAACAGTAAACACTAAGAAATGAAGACAAAGCCAGAATGAACTACCACCTTTATCCACTCAACAGGTACTGTCAAAACACCACAAAAGATAACAAGCAATGACAGGGAATGTAAATTAGCACAGCTATTATGAAAAACATTATGGAGGTTCCTCAAAATTTAAAAATAGAGCCACTGTGATGCTGTAGCCCCATTTACAGGTATATTTATATACAAAGGAAGTGAGATGGGAGAAGCATTTGCATTCCCAAGTTATTGCAGCCAAGAAACCCCAAGAGCCAAGAAATAAAACAACCCAAACCCAAGAGTTCATATACTTGTGAAAGCAATATATATAGTTCAACCATAATAAAGTATGAAATCCTGCTATTCAACATAGCACTAATAGAAATAGAGACTGTTGGGTTAAGTAAAATAAGCTAGGCACATAAAAAGGAAGTATTATAAAATCTCACTGGCATGTATAACCTGCAAACATTGCTCTCATAGAAGTAGAAGATATAATGGTGGATACTAGAATCTGGGAATGTCCAGGAAAGGGGGAAAAGAGGAGAGGCTGGTTGATCAATGATGAACTAATTTATTTATAGCTAACTGGAAGCAAGAAGCTCTGATATGCTATTCCACAAGGCGACTTTAGATAACATAAATTCCAAAACATTAGAAAAAATATCAATGTTGAGGAGACAGACAAGTTCAACTCATTTAAATGCTATACTAAGTATTTATGTATTAAAACGTATGATATACTGAAACTTATATACATACCTATTGAGAATTCTACCAAATCCAAGGTTGCTAGGGCAAACAAACAAAAGAATCTTGCTTCAGGGAACTCAGCCCTGTAGAGAATGCTGTGCCGTTGGATGGAAACAGGAAGCTGTCCTTATTCTAAACTGGAATGAGGACATGATATGATCTCACCTGTCCTAGCAGAAGGCCAAAAGAGTTTCTTCATCTCTAGCTCCTAGTCTAGAACAACCATTCCCACCATTCCCACCTCCTTCTCCCTTTCTCTGTAAGAGAGCAAATCTAATCTATAGCATAAGCTATTTTTAATGAATGAATGAACAATGACGACTCTACCAGAAGAAGTCTTGACAAGCAGGTAACAGGGAATTCTAGGGTCACCTAATTTCTGTTACAGAGTATATCTGGTCCTTACTTTCTAGTTAGATTCCTTTTTAGCAATCTCTTACAGTTTAGCTTCTTGCCCCATAGGACTTGGTTTTCCAGCAATTAGATGACAAAAGTTAACAGTCAAACTTCGGAAACTAGACAGATGTAAACACTACATAGCACCACAGGTACACTT